CATTGTTCCCATGGCTTTGGTGAAGTGCTTGTGTCAGGAAAAAATGCTTTGTATCTTGTTTTTTTTTTTTTTCTCTCTTAGGGATTCTCTGAGACAGTTACAGGTGTATCAACATCCCGACCATACAGAGCATGACTTTATGGATGCCATTGACCGCCGAGAGGATACTTTTTACGTTGTGTCTTTCCGTCGGGTGAGTGAAGAGCTGTCTGCATTTGTCAGCCTCCCAAGTAAACCAGGAAACCCAAAATGAGCTAATTCTACTTAATTGTACAGCTACATTAACTATCTTGCCAAGTCTGAAAGTACAAATCTCCCGCTGTCTTTGTTTACCGCTTGATCAGTTAGGGTGGGTTCTTGTCCAAGTTTCTTTCTCTGCCCCTTAATCAGTTGTGGGCTCCCCCCCCCTTTTTATCTGATCGTTCTCTAAGCCAGAGGTCTCCAAACTTGACAACTTTAAGGCTTGTGGACTTCAGCTCCCAGGATTCCCCAGCCAGCACAGGAATTCTGGGAGTTGAAGTCCACAAGTCTTAAAGTTGCCCAGTTTGGAGACCCCTCCTGTATCTCTTCCCTTCATTTCTCAAGGTTATTCCCACATGCCATTACAGCTGTGCTGTTGAGCCGCAAAGAATGGTTTGTAAACACTAGCTGTTTTATTAAGTGTACGGGTTGATTGTATGAAGACCAAGGCAGTGTGTTCAAATGTGGGAATCCAGCTTTTCCTAAAAACCCTTGCAAGGAAAACTTAAGATAGCAATAGAGGAGGCATTCACGTGCTGAATAAGTAGGTTAGAACTCTTGTGCTGAAAAACAGATGACGGGGAGCACGCAGAGGGAAGGAAGCAAACGGGGAATTCCTTTGAAGTGTGAGAATCTGCCCGTGTCTCGGTCTCGAGGTAAAAAATAAATTATAGGTCCTTTATAAGGCCAAGAACTTAAATGAAGGAAAGTAAGGCAAGCCTATTGGTAAATTTGGAGTCGCCGATGAAAAGTGACGATTCCTTTTAAGAAAATCTAGTCTGTTTAGTGGTGAAGAATCTGGGTTAGCGTTTAGGTCCTTCTCTCCCCTTCTTGCTGGAAATCGGAGAAGTTGCGGTTCCAGTCTCTAGGAAGCACCACAATTGTCTCCTCGTGCTTCAATTTTACAAGCTGCCTGCTGCAAGGAGACCAGTGGTGTTGGGTCAATGATAAAGCTAAGTCTCACAGCTGAAGTGGGGGGAGGGGAGTTGTTAAGAGATTGCCTAGCCTGGAATCCCCGAAGGGGAGGAAGTGACAGAGAATCTCATAAACTTTGGGGTACTTATCTAGTTGTTCTAGAGCAGCGGTTCTCAACCTGTGGGTCGCAACCCCATTTGGGGTCGAACGACCATTTTACGGGGGTTGCCAAACAATGCGATCCGCCATCTTTTTTCTTAGCTGGCGGCACCGCGCATGTGGCCTCCGCTGCGCATGTGGCCGCCGCCACGCATGCGCGGCGTGTCCTTATGACCAGGGTCGCCATATAAAAAGATTGAGAACCACTGTTCTAGAGTGTGCAGTTAAGTCTTGTGAGATTCCTGTAAACAGGCCAATAGCAATAAACATACTGCTCTGATCAATTATCAGTATTCTGGTTCCTTACCTTAGGGGTCCCCAACCCCCAGTCTGTGGACCGGCAGCCGTCTGTGGCATGCCAGAAATCGGTCCACGCAAACAAGCGAAGCCCCATTTGTGGGATGCAGGCAACTCATGAAACAACGCCCCCTCCGGTCTGTGGAAAAATCTGTCTCCATGGAACCGATCCCTGGTGCCCAAAAGGATGGGCCACTGCTTACCTGACACATGTTTCCTGTTCCCTTAGGACCACTTGCTGCTGCCTGCCATCAGCCACAACAAGACCTCTCGCCCTAAAATGTCCCTGGTGATGCCCGCCATGGCTCTGAACGGTAAAAGAAACCCAAAGTCTTGGGAGAGGCTGGGCTGCGGCTGCCCTCCTTCCAAGGGCGGCTGCATGTCAGCCTCTCTTTTCTTTTCTCCAGAGAGCCTCTACGGCTCCACCCTGGGCTACGAAGTCATGATGCAGGTCGACTGCGAGGTCATGGACACCCGGGTCATCCACATCAAGAGCTCCACGGTGCCCCCTTTCCTGAGACGCCAAGGCACCCCGTCCGACAACCACACCCAGCCGTCCCCGCCTGCCTTTTCTGGGAAAACTCCCCGTACAACTTTGCGGTCTCATCGCTCTACTTTGTCCACAGCTCGGCGGCATTCCCATCGCACCCTGTACTTTGGGGAGCATGGAGGAGGCTAGTTGGAGTCTGGACAAAGTGAAGAAATTCTGGAAGTGACATTCTTCCAACTAGGGACTTGGATATCCCCGCTCCTCGGGGCATTTCTGCCCAAGCGACGGATGGATGTACCGTACGCTGATTGGGCAGAAATGGGGGCCTTTACTCTCTCCTCCCCCACCCCCTCAAGCCTCTTTCTCAAGATGTTCCTTGGTCCACGCCCACTGCCGCTTCCAAGAGGGCTCAACGGAGGGGTGCTGAGCTGTTGCTGCTGCAGAGGCCTGGGCCCCAGCATTGCCCCCAAAAAACCTCTGGCTCATGTGTGCGGCCTCCTTGGGGTGGGGGAGGCCGAGATAGAGCTGGGTGAAATAAGGGACGGACACAAGAGGTGTCTACAACTACTATGTGCGAGCTGGAAAGTGTGAGAGTGTAAGAAGGATGAGTGTTCTCTTTTCCTCAAAGGGAAAGACCGAAAAAACGAGAGCGCGAGTTGGTGAGCATGTTGAAGTGTGTATGTTGTCCTCTTCAAAATTGCTCTGGTGGCACTTAGGCCTGCTCTTCTGGGTCTTTTGTGTGTGTGTGTGTGTGTGTGTTTGTATTTTCCCTAATTGTGGTTTTTTTTAAAAAAAATAAAGAATAGCTACAAATAAATTTCATACTTAACTCGTCATTTTTTATTCTAATGTCAAAACCGAATAATCCAACAGCAAAATGACACAAGCCAAAAGCAAAGCACTGTGTTTTGTGTGTTTGTGGGTGGGTTTTTTTTGCTATGAATTAGCACCGCAACATTACACATGCAATAAATATTTGTTAGAAGACCCAATAATGATTCTAGATTAAGACTCGGCTCCAGTTTCAAAATTCCTCCTGGGAAAACTTACATGCTTTTACATCAGCCTGACTCTGGTACTTTAAGTTTAAAACATTTCAAACCTTAAATATTCAGAAAGCATTTTTCTTTTCAAAATTAGGAGCTATCTTAACTGTACCCATCATTGAGAATATGTCACTGCATTGATTTTTTTTCTCAATATAAAGTTATAAACCGGCTTTGGGATTTCACTGGTGAAATAAGGTAGTCATTTGTAGAAGGAAAACAGGAACAAACATCTGAAAATGTCAGTGGGTGTTTTGTCAGGTTTTAGACAAAATTCTTTGTGAAGAGCAATGAAATGGAGTTGGATTAAGGGGGAAAAAACATGCTGTGCACTAATGAGACTGAATCTTGGATACATACACAACGTATGCACGGACATGTACTGTATTTCACAATGCCGGTAGTCCTTGACTTACAACCATTCATTTAGTGACCCAAGTTATAAAGACACTGAAAAAAGTGACTTAACAACTCCCCTTGGTCTTACGATTGTTGCAGCATCTCCATGGTCCTGTGATCAAAATTTGGGCACTTGGCAACCTGCCTGTATTTGCAATGGTTGTTGCAGTGTCACATGATTGCCATTTACAACTTCCCAATCAGTTTCCAACAAAGAAAGTCAGTGAACGAAGCTGGATTTTCTTTAATGGCTATGTGATTCACTTAACAACTGCAGTGATTCACTTAACAAAAAGATCATAAAATTGGATGCCCCTCACATAATTGCCTTGATTAGCAGTGAAAATTCTGGTCCTGATTCTGGTTGTAAGTTGTGAATTACCTGTACACAAACTACCAGCTTTAAGTCATTAGAAAAATGGGAAATTAACTGCATAACCAATGTATAGAATTCAAATATCCTAGGTGACAAAATGTTAGAGACAATTTGGAAATAAATTTGGCTTATAGTAGCGAGAACCAATTCTATTGAGGGAAATTCAAGGTGATGATTATACATGTTTGTAATTGGAGTGGAAATTCAACACTCAGTTGCAAATCGTCACAGGGTTTATTCATGTCAGAAGCAAGACAATTAAAATAAGGCATACTATACTGACATAAATTTAAAATGCAAGATACAAGTTTAAAATATACAAATTAAATTGATCTTGCCCAGAAACTAGCAACATTGTGTTCTGTCGCACTGTCAAAAGGTCCTCAAGTGTACACTGATCAGAACACAAAGGGCAGGTATACATATGTGTTGTTGTCTGCCTGTCGCCACAATCCCAAAGAAACCACAGGAGGTGCTTTTTCATGAGGCAAGTTTCTTGTTTTTCTTTGAAGACATTTCGCTTCCCATCCAAGAAGCTGCTTCAGCTCTGACCATATGGCAGGGAATGGGAGGATTTATATTCCTTGCAGACATTTGCATTTTTTAAGAGAGTCGTTGAGGCCATATAAATATAAATCCTTCCATTTCTCCACCATCCAGTCAGAGCTGAAGAAGCTTCTTGGTTGAGAAATGAAAGCAGCTTTGGGATTCAGAGTCTCTCTGGATTAGTATTTCTCAACCTTGACAATTTTAAGGCATGTGGACTTCAACTCTCAGAATTCCACAGCCAGCATTGCTGGCTGTGGAATTCTGGGAGTTGAAGTCCACATGCCTTAAAATTGTCAAGGTTGAGAAACACTGCGGAGTCTGGATCTTCTTGTACCGGTGCACAATCTGTCACAGGGTTAATGCTGGCGACTGTCATTTGCTTGTGTCTTAACTCTAGGCTACCAGATAAAATACTGATGATGATGATGCCTAAAGGTTCTGTGTGTGGGGGGGGGGGGAACTACAGCTCCCAGAATCCCGTGTGTGCGTGTGTGTGTGTGAGAGAGAGAGAGAGAGAGAGAGACTGGAGGGGAATGTCGGATTTTGCACGGCAAGCAAAACACCGGGAAGACTACACGTCCCAGCAGCCTAGGTGGCTCCTGAGTGCTCCCCGCGCCAGAGATCTGGCGGCTGACATTGCGCGATCTGGCATGGAGGAGGCGTGGATCTCCGCGGCGAGCGAGACGGAGAAATCGCTCTGAAGGGTCTAAAGCCGCGGGAAACCCTCCCGGAGGAGCCGCGGTGGTGCTGTTGGCCGATGCGGGTGAGGGCCAGCGGCGGCAGCGGCGGCAGGATTGAGGGATCGGGGGCTCCCGCTAGAAAGGGGGAGAGGCTGGGCAGACCGTCCAGCCCTTTGTCCGGGCTTTTCTCAACCCATCTGTGCGATCCGACCCCTCGGAGAGAGGCAGAAGCCCTAAAGGGGAGCAGGCGAGCGAGGGGCGCCGGATACTGGGGGGGGGCAGGCACCCCTTTGTTTTCTCCGACGGGGAAAAGCGGGGGGGGGGCCTCCGTGGGAGATCCAAGTTAGGAGCCCTTTCGCTGCAGGGAATCGTCCGATCGACCGATCCGCAGATTTGGGGGCGCCCCTCCAGGCTGCAAAGTTGCTCTTAAGGAAGTTGGCAGATTGACAAACCCGAATCCCTTGCCCGTTTTGAAGTGAGGGGGTGCCGAAGGGGACCCTTGGTTGGTGCGGGAGAATAAACGCAGCCTGGTGCCATTTCCGGAAAGGTTTTCTGTACATCTGTGGTTTATAATACTCCGTTCTTCTTTCAGTCAAGGACAATGTGAGTTGAATATCAATTATTAAATGTCCCCGGTGGTGAACTTAGTTGCAGGTATCTCAACTTATGGAACGGATGAAGGAAAACAGAAGCCAGGGCCTTAAGAGACCACTGTTTGCACTTGTGAATGCCCTCCTCCAAAGGGTTGCTTTATATTTGCATTAAATCAGTGTCGAGCCTGCTTCCATCTCTTGCATCATTGTCCTGGAACAAGCCATGGTTTAGCATAGAAGTAAATTGTAGTTATTCCATCCAATGGCGTTTCCGTTTCCTTTTTAAAAGCTGGTTTTAAAAAGAAGAGCTCAGAAAAATAGGGCTGTTACGGGTGAGAAAATGTTATGGCGTTGCTCTTTATGTATCTCTAAATCTTTAGCTGTTAGGTATTGTCTGCATTTTTTTAAAAAGCAAGTTTATGGAAACATTTAACTTATTTAAAATAAAGTTGGTTCAAATAGCAAAATTAATCCAATGTAATATTACAGGATCATTAGCATTGCCAAATCAGAAAGGGTCTCTGATTTATTTCTATACAAGTCATTTTCATAAAAGCTGATGTTGTTTTTAGAAACCATTTTGAGGGACTTATGGCTGTTGCCATAGTGAGGAATATTTTGAGCACCAGAATTCTCATTGAGAACAAAGAAACATAAGATAGTTTCTCCCATTGGCTGTTTTTGGTACAGGTTGTCCTTGATTTACAACCATTCATTTAGTGACCGTTTGAAGTTAAAACAGCACCCAAAAAGGTGACGTGATTGTTTTTTTTACACTTACAACTGTTGCAGCATTCTCATGGTCATGTGATCCAAATACGGACACTTGGCAACTGTCTCATATTTATGATGGTTGTAGTGTCCCGGGTTCATATGATCACATCTTGCAACTTTCTGACAAGCAAAGTCAATGGGGAAGTCAGATTCACTTAACAACTATGTTACTAACTTAACAACTGCAGTGATTCACTTAACAACTGTAGCAAGAAAGGTCATAAAATAGGGCAAAATTCATTTAACAACTATCTTGCTTAGCAATGGAAATTTTGGGCTCAACCGTGGTTGTAAGTTGTGGATTAACTGTACTTGCGTGCAAATTGCAAAGGGATTATCCTTGCCTAAAATAAAATAGCAGCTCAAAGACAGTGTTTCTCAACCTGGGCAAGTTTAAAATAGGTAAACTTCAATTCCCAGAATTCACCAGCCAGCATTCTAAGAATTGTCTTCTGAAACTTGCCCAAGTTTAAAGCTTAAGTTTCAACAAACTTTTTTATAATATTCTTGTGCTTCCCCCAACCAATTTTATTATCCTCTTTCCCCCCCAAACTTTAAATCTTTTTCTCCAGAACGACCACTGTAGGATTTGAAAAAGGGAACATCTTCTCTATTCTTCCCCTGCCTAAGTAATTATTTTATTTCTTATATTATAAAACGCAAATGTTTGCTGGGTACAGAGGCGAGTATCAATCATCAATATAAGCAATACATTATTAACCCTATGAAAGTTCAGATAAACCTTTAAAGATAAGGAAAACAAAGTCGATATCAATGTTAAATATAATTCATTAAATGTTAATGAACATAAGGTGACTTGATTTGTACAACTGAAGTGAAGAATGGTATTGATAGACAGTTGCAAAATATGGTAAGTACTTTATAATGTAATCAAGGTTTGTATCTTTGAGTTAAGTTTAAGATCTGTGTTGTTTATTATTGTTCATAAATGTTAAGGAAAAAAGAAAGAGAAAGGGGGAAAAAAGAGCTATTTGGAAGAGCAAATAATAATTTTGGTCTCTAATTTACCTCTTCTCTATAGTCCAACTGATTTGCAGTATTTAGAAATATTTAGATCACCTTAAATTATACAGAGAGTCCTTGACTTACAACAGTGCATTTAGTGACCAAGGTTACAATGACACTGACAAAAGTGATTTATGATGAAGTTTTTTCACATTTACACCCATTGCACACCCTGATGGTTACGGGATCAAAATTCGGACGCTTGGTAACTGCCTCATATTTATGACAGTTGCAGTGTCCCGGGGTCATGTGACCATCTTTTGCGGCCTTCTGACAGTGGGGAAGCCAGATTCACTTAACAACCTGTGGCTTAACAACTGCAGTGATTAACTTAACACCTGTGGCAAGAAAGATCATAACATGGGGCAAAATTCACTTAACAACTATCTCACTTAGCAACAGAAATTTTGGGCTTTATTGTGGTCATAAGTCGAGGACTTCCCATACTGTAAATGTTTGTAGTTTCTTTGCTGAGTGATGTACTGGGTACATCAAGGCCATTCTTGCCCATATTTAGTTAAGCTTCTGTTGTGGATATACAGATAGTCTTCAATTTATGAGCATTCATTTAGCGACTGTTCAAAGTTACAGTGTCAGTGAAAAAAGTGACCTATGAGCGGTCCTCATACTTACGACCATTGCAGTGTTCCCTAGAGTCACGTGATCCTGATGCAGGGTGCTTAGCAACCAGCAAGTATGTATGACATTTGCATTTATCCTGGGGTCACTTGCAGCCTTCCCAGCTGGCTTCCAACAAGCAGACTCAGTGCGGAAGCTGGGAGAAGCTTGCAAATCAAAGTCATGTGATCTCTTGTTTAACAACCAAGGCAAAAAAAAGGTTGTAGGGCAGTGATGGTGAACCTTTTAGAGACCGAGTGCCCAAACTGCAACCCAAAACCCACTTATTTATTGCTGGGTGCCAGGTGGGCGTGGCCCACTGGGTGGGCGTGGCTGTGGTGGTCATGACAGACTGGGTGGGTGTGGCCAAGATGGTGCTCGTGGGGAGGGACGCCTGTGGGGGCCGGGCAGGGTTGGGGGAGATCCAGCGGTCTCTGGCAGGTGAGGTGGTGGGTAGGAGGCTCGTCCTGCGTGGTGGGGTGAGGCAGGGTGGGGTGCCATTATCTCAGGGCAAGGCAAGTCAGGGGCCGGGGCCGCTGCTGCCTGACACCATTGGCCTCCGCACACAGAGGCCAGCGAGCGCATGGGGGCCGACAGTGTGTGTCAGCAGCCACAGCCTGCCGGCCCCTCGACCGGCGGACTCTCGGGCTCCGCAGCCCGCCACCAGCAGTTCAGAGAAATGCCTACAGAGAGGGCTCTGAGTGCCGCCTCTGGCACATGTGCTATAGGTTCGCCACCACTGTTGTAGGGTGCGGTGAGGTGAGACTTGACTTAACGAACACCTGCTTAACAATAACAGCAACAACAATAATAATAAAGTTGGAAGGGACCTTGGGACCTTGGAGGTCATCTAGTCCAACCCCCTGCTCAGGCAGGAAACCCTATACCATTTCAGACAAATGGCTGTCCAGTCTCTTCTTAAAAACCTCCAGTGTTGGAGCATTCACTGCTTCTGGAGGCAGAAGGTTCCACTGGATAATTGTTCTAACTGTCAGGAAGTTTCTCCTTAGTTCTAGGTTGCTTCTCTCCTTGATTAGTTTCCATCCGTTGCTTCTTGTCCTGCCTTCAGGTGCTTTGGAGAATAGCTTGACTCCCTCTTCTTTATGGCAGCCCCTGAGATATTGGAAGACGGCTATCATGTCCCCCCTTGTCCTTCTTTTCATTAAACTAGACGTACCAATTCCAGCAGCCGTTCCTTATATGTTTTAGCCTCCAGTCCCCTGATCATCCTTGTTGCTCTTCTCTGCACTCTTTCTAGAGCAGGGGTGTCAAACTGCCAGCCTGCAGGCCAGATGCATCATGGCGAAACACCTCCCACCCCATTGCCGGCAATGGAGAAAAAGTCACGATACATCATGACACATCATGTGATGTTGCGGATTTGACACTCCTGTTCTAGAGTCTCAATGGATTCTCCAAGCCCAATTCTGGTTGTAGATTGAGGACTACCTGCATGTGGTTAGTTTTACCATTATTGCTTGTACAGGCAGTCCTCAACTTACAACAGTTCGTTTAGTGACCACACAAAATTACCAGGGTACTGAAAAAAATGACTTATGACCGTTTTTCACACTTATGACCATTGCAGCATCCCCATGGTCAACGTGATTTACATTCAGATGCTTGACAACTGGTTCATATTTATGACGGTTGCAGTGTCCCGAGGTCATGTGATCCTCTTTTGTGACCTTCTGATAAGGGGAGGGAGGCCAGATTCACTTAACGACCATGTTACTAACTTAACAAGTGCAGTGATTCACTTAACAAATGTGGTAAGAAAAGTCGTAAAATGGGGTAAAACTCATTTAACAAATTCTTCACTTTGCAACATAAATTTTGTGTTCAACTGTGGTCATAAGGACTACCTGTAATCTTCAAGTTTAAGTTCAGACTCAGATATAATAATAATAATAATAATAATAATAATAATAATAGTTGGAAGGGACCTTGGAGGTCATCTAGTCCAACCCCCTGCTCAGGCAGGAAACCCTACACCATTTCGGACAAATGGCTGTCCAGTCTCTTCTTAAAAACTTCCACTGTTGGAGCATTCACCGCTTCTGGAGGCAGGTTGTTCCACTGGTTAATTGTTCTAACTATCAGGAAGTTTCTCCTTTGTTCTAGGTTGCTTCTCTCCTTGATTAATTTCCATCTTTGGTGCTGTATCTTTCTCCCTGTGCTTGGCAAAGTTTGTCCTTGTAGCTGTGAGCGTTTATCTCAGTAGGTTCTTTTTCCTCATTAACATATTTTGGACTTATACCAAGTTAAAATGTGATTTCATTTCAGACTGAATCGCTAAAATTCTCTGATGGAGCCATGGTAGATCTTTCCAGTATGTGGTGAAATGTCCCTTCTGTTTCATGACATTTCCAACATTTGTTACTGTATTATGTATCTGTATTGGAGGTGGGAACCATCTGTAAAAGATTTTATACCAATTATAAGTTAGAGTGAATTTAATGGGTTTGGTCCATAGTTTTTCCCACTGTTGAGTTGTGACTGTTTCGTTAAAGTTCTGCATCCATTTTATCATGCTTTTTAAAAAAACCTATTCTATCTTCATATCATATCGGAGGAGGAGTTTATATATGTATTGGTGCCTCCATTGTAGATAATCAGACTAGTATTTTCAAATACTGTTGTTGTTTAATCTTTGTCCATACTAACAATAATGCATTCCTACTATAATTATTATTATTGTTGTTTTTAAAATTTATAAGCCGCCCCACTCCCGAAGGACTCTGGGCGGCTAACAATAAAAAACACATAAAACATAACAAACAACAATACAAAAACAATCATCCAGGGGTAAGGTTTTATAAACCCCAGGCCTGCCGGAAAAGCCAGGTCTTAAGTAGCTTACGGAAGACCAACAGGGTGGGAGCGGTCCTAATCTCCGGGGGGAGCTGATTCCAAAGTGTGGGCGCCATCACAGAGAAGGCCCTCCTCCGCGGCCCTGCCAAATGGCACTGCTTGGCCAAGGGGGCCCGAAGGAGGCCCAGCCTGTGGGATCTAACCGGACGTAGGGAACTATGAGGTAGTAGGCGGTCTCGCAAATAGCCTGGCCCTGAGCCATATAGGGCTTTAAAGGTAATGACCAACACCTTGAATTGGACCCGGAGACCAATAGGCAACCAGTGCAGCTTTGAAAGTAGCAATGTAGCTCGCTGTTCCCATAACATAAAAACGCGTGCCATCCCAATTGGAGATCACGACCCTCCAGTGTCAACAATCTTATATTCTCAGATTAATCCATTCTTTTACCCACGTAAATACTGATGTTTGATGATATAGCTCCCAATCCGGAAGGCTAAAAGTCTCTCTATTTTTGGCATCTTGTAACATTTTTACATTTATTCTCGTTTTTTTGCCTTGCCGTATAAATTTTAATATCGTTTTATTTAATTCTTCAAAGTATTTTTTCTACTCTTATTGGAATTGTCTGAAACAGGTACAGTAATCTTGGAAAAATATTCATCTTAATTGTAGATATTCTACCCAACAAGCGTTCAAATTTTGATCACATGATTATGGGGATGCTGCAGCGGTCGTTAATGTGAAAAATGGTCATAAGTCACTCTTTTCAGTGCCACTGTAAGTTGAGGACTACCTACATAATATTGGAAAAAACTTAACCTATTGGGCATAATGGTGTTGGTCTGCCTGTGTTTGTTTTATTCTGCACCAATCGTTGATACCAATATAGAATAGAATAGAATAGAATAGAATAGAATAGAATAGAATAGAATCTGGAAGGGATCTTGGAGGTCTTCTAGTCCAGCCCCCTTGCTCAAGCAGGAGAATCTATACCAGTGAGGGCGAACCTTTTAGAGACCGAGTGCCCAAACTGCAACCCAAAATCCACTTATGTATTGTTGGGTGCTGGGTGGGCGTGGCCCATTGGGTGGGCGTGGCCCATATTGGGTGGGTGTGGCTGTGTTGGTAACAGCAGACTGGGTGGGACTAAAAAGTGCAATCAATCAATTCCAACTTTGAGAGATCTTTTTTTTCCTACAAGAAGTTGAAATTGATTGATTGATTGAACCCTTTTTTTTTTTTTTTTGCACACAGTGGCGGAGGCCCAAAGCGAAAAGGTTTTATAAAACCCAGCTGAAAGTCTAGGACTGGGGCGACGACGTGCAGGCCCACAGAGAGAGCTCTGCGTGTCACCTGTGGCATACGTGCCATAGGTTCGCCACCCGGCCCGATACCATTTCAGACAAGTGACTGTCCAGTCTCTTCTTAGAAACCTCCAGTGATGGAGCGCCCACGATTTCTGAAGGCAAGCTGTTCCACTGGGTTAATTGTTCTCACTGCTAGGAAGCTTCTCCTTAATTCCAGGTTGCTTCTCTCTTTGGTCCGTTTCCAACCATTGTTTCTTGTCTTGCTCTCTGGAGCTTTGGAGAATAATTTTTTTTTTAATTGAAAATTTATAAGGTTTTACAATACAAAAACAAAACAGTTTTCCCCATCCCTCCCCAACCCTCCCTTTCCCTCCCCCGACTATCCCAGAACTGGATATAGGCTTAATTAGAATTTCTTCAAAAAATCTTAAGAAAAGTATAAAATATAAATAAATCTAGATACATTACTTAAACAAATTACTAAATAATTAACAACAATATATATGTAAAAAAAAGAAAAACATAAATACCAAAAAGGAAGGAAAAAAAATACATAAAAAAATGAAAAAAAATTAACTTTTCAATATAAGTTATAAAACTATAAACAAATCTAAATACATTACTTAAACAAGTTATAAAATAATTAAAGGTAATATATATATATATATATATATAAAGAAAAATAGAAAAGAGGAAAGAAGAAAATAATAATAATAAACAGAAAAAAAGGGAAAAAAGTTTGGCTTTTCAAGAAAATTGGCTTTTCAATATAAATTATTAAAAAGCTAAATAATATTTTTTAATATCCATCTTGTGTTGTATAAAATCTATCCATTTCCTCCATACCACAACATACTTCTCTTGAGATTGATCCTTCAGGAAAGCCGAAATCTTTGCCATTTCCGCCAGATAAGAAACTTTAAAAAGCCACTCTTGCAAGGTAGGCAGAGATTCCTTCTTCCAACAGTGTGCTACTAACAACCTTGCAGCTGTGATTAAATTTAACATCAATGTGATATCTTTAGTATCACAATCTGTAACAATACCTAATAAAAACAATTGTGGGGTAAATTTTACCCTCCTTCTAAAAATTCTTTGAATATTCCACCATATCTTAATCCCAAAAGCTTTTATATTTTTACACGTCCACCAAATATGATAATATGTAGCATCCAAACTTCCACATCTCCAACATTTAGGCTGTAGATCAGGATACATACGAGACATTTTTTGTGGATCAAGATGCCATCTATAAAACATTTTATAAAAGTTCTCCCTTAAATTTTGGGCTTGTGTAAATTTAACGTTCCTCACCCAAATAATTTCCCAGGTATCTAATAGTACCGGTTCACCAAAGTTTTGTGCCCATTTAATCATACATTCTTTGACTAACTCTGCTTCTGAGTTCAATTCTACTAAGACCCCATAAATTCTCTTAATGTGAGTTCGCCTTTGATATTTTATTTGTTTAAACAGATTCTCATCTTCTCTAAGCAAACCCACATTCCGATCTATCTTCCACCTATCCATTATTTGTCTGTAGTGAAACCATGAATATATAATATTTTCCTATGCTAAATCTTCCATAGATTTTAACTGCCAATTTTTACCATCCCACCTGAGTAATTGTGCATAAGAAACGCTATCCATCCTGACCCCTCTTCTTATCCCTTCAATCGCATGCCATGGAATAGCCCATTAGTGGAATTTTAAAATCATTTCTATAATATTTCCTCCAAACCCGAAGTAAGGAGGTCCTCATAATATGAGATTTGAAAGCCCTATCAACCTTTTTATTAAAAATTAGATAGGCATGCCATCCAAAAATTAACAACCCTGCTTTGGAGAATAATTTGACCCCCTCTTCTTCGTGGCAGCCCCTCAAATACTGGAACATTGCTTTCATGTCAATTTCCACTTTCTCTTTTGCCTTTCACGGGTCTCTGGCTAAAAGGATTGCATCTACCAGGGACTGATGCAGGAAGAAAGTTTGGAGAGACAGGGAGGCTGAATCCATTTTCTTTGTCCTTTCAGAGGCTGGTGTCATTTAAAGATGTGGCCGTGTATTTCACGGAGGGCCAGGGGGCTCTGCTGGATCCAACCCAGAGAGCTTTATACAAAGAAGTCATGGTGGAGAATTATGAGAACGTGGCCTCCTTAGGTACGAGTCTCTTCCTTCTTTCGTTGAGCTAAAGACGGATGCAAAGGACTGTGATCAATCTCTGCTTCTCCCTTGTATTTTCAGGACTGTGATTTTTAATTTGATTTTCTGTCAAGGGTTTCCTGCTCCGAAGCCAAATCTCATCTCTCGTCTGGAACGAGGAGAAGAACCTTGGCTGTTAGACTCTCCAGGGGTGGATGCCAACAGCTCAGGTGAGAGATGGAAAAAAAAATATCCCAGTTGGCAAATAAAGCCACGGAAATCTCTCTTCTTTTGTCTCCACAGAAGATAGTCCTCAACTTAAGACCACAAGGAGAGCCCAAAATTTATGTGGCTAAGTGAGACATTTGTTAAATGAATTTTGCCCCATTTTACGACCTTTCTTGCCATCGTTGTTAAGCGATTCACTGCCGTTAAGGGAATCTGGCTTCCTCGTTGACTTTGCCCGTCAGAAGGTTGCCGAAGAGGATCACATGATCCCTGGACACGGCAACTGTCATAAATATGATCCAGTTGCCAAGCGTCTGAATTTTGATCAGGTGACCATGGGGATGCTGCAACAGTTGACGTGTGCAAAATTGTCATGGTCACTTTTTTTCAGGGCCGTTGTAACTTTGAACAGTCACAAAATGAACTCTTACAAGTTGAGGACTACCTGTATTTTGTTTGAGCAGATCCTTAAAAATGCAACCAAGTACCCCACCTGGGTTTGATCTTCCTTTCTTAGAGACGAGATGTCCAAATGTTCTGTCTCTTTGCTTTCAAAGTTTATTGTGTTTGTGTGTGTGTAGGGGGGGGGGGAATGTTATGTCCTGGGCCCGCAGGCACAGGTTGCAGCGATTGGCCTGGGCAGACCATGTGGATGCCCGGGACAAAAAAGGCTGCTCCCAGCCTTGCGTGCACACAAGATCCTTTGGAATGATTGGCCAAAGATCCTTTGGAATGATTGGCAAGCAAGGTATTGTGCAGGGGGGCTATAAAAGGGGGCCCCGCACCATTTTAAAACCTGTTCTGTTGGTGTTTGCAATAAAGGAGAACTGTTGGAACCCGTTGCTTCGTCTCAATGCCTCTTTTCCTGAAACAGAACAGGAAACAACTTGTCGTACCTCCACGTTTTAAAGGAATGTCACATCTTTTTAATGACAATTTTTTTCTTCCTAGTGTTTTCTTGCAAGTTCAGGGTCTGCCTTCCCCCCCCCGCCCCCCGGCTAAATCAAGGGCCGATTTCATTGGTTGCAACAAGAACTGACTAACCAGGTTGTCTCCAGAGCCTGACGTTGTGGGCTGAGAAAGCGTGGCTGGTCCAAAATCACCCAGTCTGTTTTTATGGCTAAGGCAGGACTAAAACTCACAGCTTCCTGGTTTCTAGTCTGGTGTCTTAAACATTAGACAAAACTGGCTCTCATAATGACACTATTGCATCCCTTGGCTTTAAATCTGTAAATTTAATGAGTATACCACATGGTAAGATTCTTCTACATGCTGTCCATGAGTTATTCTGTAGGTTTTTTGAATTTGTAACAATTCATCTTTGCTTAGATCTAGATATTATTTATTTGAGTACATGTTCCTTTTCTCTTTCTAAACCAGTGGTTCTCAACCTTTTTAATGCCGTGACCCCCAACCGGTCATAAGTCGAGGACTACTCAACCGGTCGTAAGTCGAGGACTACTCAACTGGTGCAGCACCATTTGCAGAATGGGACTTTTGGCGGGCTCAGCATGGCAGAGACAGCCTGGACAATTCCTATTGGCTTTTGAAAGCCAATAGAATTAGACTCTGTTCAAGAGAGTCTATTCTATTGGCTTTCAAAAGCCAATAGAATAAAAGGGAGTAGCACAGCTAAGGAAAAGGGGAAAAAAATGGCGGACTGCGTTGTTTGGCGACACCTGTGAAATGGTCGTTCGACCCCAAATGGGGTCCCGACCCACAGGTTGAGAACCACTGTTCTAAACCATCCCCAGATTGTCTGATGTCTCTCCAACCTTGGTTTCAGCACAATTCTGTTTCTGTTATGTGTAATTAAGGCATCATCTCCACCTTTTATTTCTGACTGTATCTTGGGATATATTTAGTAGATTTATCCTGCCATTCTAGCTTAGGGGCTACACTGTAGCATATTTATCACTGGTGTCAACCTTAAATACTGTGTGTGTGTGTGTGTGTGTGTGTGTGTGTGTGTGTGTGTGTATTTGAATCAACTTAATCCTGTTCTATTCTGAATGTTTACATTTGAAATCAAGTTTTTGTTGAAACTTATTCAATTCACATGTAAATAAATATCTAATTTGTAATAGAACAGAGGAAGTACCTTCTGTTGATTGTTACTAGTTTTCTCCCCTTATCAAATTTTTATTCTGCCTTCTGCTGCTCATTGTTAACAAATGAGAATTTGATCCTCAATGTCATCAAACGTATTGAGAAAATGTTATGATGTTAAGCATAAGATGAATTCAATGCTACCAATTTCTTTAAAATCATATACACTAAATATAAAGAAAGTGCTTAAAACACCATGTTTTATAATAAAGTTTGAATAAAACAATGTTTAGGTTATTCAGTTTTAGAATAACATTCAGTTCTTTGTGTTGGAACTAATGATAATAGTGCCAATTAAGAATGAATACTATACTACACTAGTCTGAACAAATTAAAAAATAAATATAAAGGTTAAAGTGCAGAAAATCAGCAACATTAAAATAGGTCCTAATGTATAAAACTAAATAAAACTAAGTAGAGCCACAATTGAAATTCAGTTAGTTTCTCTGCATTTAAATTCATTTAAATTCATCTAATTAATGTCCTCTAATTGATTGATTATGTGACATCAAGTCTGTGTTGACCATTAATGACCACATAGATCCCCCCCCCCCAAATGGCCCCAAATGATGATTCCTTATTTAGGAGCTTCCTCTTATGGTAACAAGCATAATATCTTCATAGAACTTGACAAAATTAACTTGCCATACTGGAAAAATGTAGTTAGACATAGCATAATTAATATGTAGAAGCTGTAAAATGAGCTCAAACGAAACTAGCAGAATAATTCTATGCTCGGTTACTATCAAGGAGGAACAGTCAGATGCAATATTTGCACACTTATTTAAAATCAGAAAGGAGGAAAATGCTACGGTTAATTGATTCAACCCTTGCTAATCAATCACAATTTCTCATTCGGGTTTCTTGCACAAATGTAAAAAATTCAGTTTCCATTCAAAACATCCCCTGAGTTGTATAGAGAGTTTTGTGCCACAAAAAGCCAAATTAAACAGCCAGGAAGGAAAAATTAAATATTGTCAATTATAGAGTCCATGAGCCCACTCTAGGCTTTTAAAACAAAAATCTCAAACCAGTAAATTCCAAAGTTGTGGAAAAAAGCATGAAATGTAGAAGCAGATTAAAATACATCTAAGAAAACTTAATAACATAGGATAAAAGTAATAAAAGCTTAAATCAGGGGTCTTCAAACTTGGCCCTTTTATGACTTGTGGACTTCAACTCCCAGAATTCCTCAGCCAGGCACACTGGCTGAGGAATTCTGGGAGTTGAAGTCCACAAGTCATAAAAGGCCAAGTTTGAAGACCCCTGCCTTAAATGTTTTACTTTGGTTGGCTCTTGTTGATCTGTAATCAGCTGAAATCTCTGAAGAGGCATAACTCTGTGAGGTTAAATTTGAATCGTGTTTGCTTCCTTTAGTTCAGGGGTAGTCAACCTTGGCTCTTTTTTGACTCGTGGACTTCAACTCCCAGAATTCTGGGAGTTGAAGTCCACAAGTCATAAAAGGCCAAGTTTGAAGACCCCTGCCTTAAATGTTTTACTTTGGTTGGCTCTTGTTGATCTGTAATCAGCTGAAATCTCTGAAGAGGCATAACTCTGTGAGGTTTTCTTGATTTCAAACTGTTAATCTGTATCAGCTAAAATCTCTGAAGAGGCATAACTCTGAGTAACAGAATAACAGAGTTGGAAGGGACCTTGGAGGTCATCTAGTCCAACCCCCTGCTCAAGCAGGAGACCTATACCATTTCAGACAAATGGCTGTCCAATCTCTTCTTTAAAACTTCCAGTGCTGGAGCATTCACAACTTCTGGAGGCAGGTTGTTCCACTGGTTAATTGTCCTGACTGTCAGGAAATTTCTCCTTAGTTCTAGGTTGCTTCTCTCCTTGATGAGTTTCCATCCGTTGCTTCTTGTCCTGCCTTCAGGTGCTTTGGAGAATAAGTTGACCCTCTCTTCCTTGTGGCAGCCCCCCAAATATTGGAAGATGGCTATCATGTCCCCCCTCGTCCTTCTCTTCATTAAACTAGACATACCCAATTCCTGCAACTGTCCTTTGCATGTTTTCGCCTCCAGTCCCTTAGTGCGAGACTCCCGTTTTAAATTTGAACCGTGTTTGCTTCCTTTAGTTCAGGGGTAGTCAACCTGGGCTCTTTTATGACTCATGGACTTCAACTCCCAGAATTCCTGAGCCAGCTTAGCTGGCTCAGGAATTCTGGGAATTGAAGTCCACGAGTCATAAAAGAGCCAAGGTTGACTACCCCTGCTTTAGTTCTTTCTTCTGTCTTTTTTGATGTGGTTTTGCCCTTGATGCGAGGAATTTAGGACTGAACGGCAAATCTGTTAATTCTCCTTGCTACAAGAATTTGGTTCCAAAACATTCCTTGGCTTTGATTGAAGCCGTTGTGAATCGCAGGGGGAATCTTACCCCATCTCACTTTCTCTGCTTCTAGGCCACCTTGGCTCCCCTACGACTCTGTGAGGTTTTCTTGATTCCAAACTGCTCCTTATCGATAAACATGTCCTTTAGCCTCTAATTCTTGACTCTTGCTTAAAAACACCCAATTGATTACACGTAGTCCTCGACTTACCACACCGGGGGCCAGAAAATTCACAGTTAAGCCATCACGTGACTGAGCCCCGTTTTACAATTATTTTTGCCACAGTTGTTAAGCAAATCACTGCTGACCCTAAGTGAATCAACCAGTTCCCTATGGATTAACTATGCTGTTAAACTCCTGGCAAAGGTTCATACGATATTGTCAAGGCCTTCAGTTAATCAAAAAGGCCTTCATGCCTTTATTTATTTTTGAGATTTATAAAGCTATACAGATCAAACGAGGCTACGGGTTGTGTAAAGCCTGTAAAAAACCAACAACCCAAACCCAAATCAATTGTCTATATTCTTCTTCTTGTTGTGCCATATCCATTATTGGACGTTGGTGATCATGTTGGCGATCCTGTTTTTATCAGCAGCCGCACGAAAAAGTGCTGCTGACTTTTGTCCAAACCAGTCCCTTAGATTTTGAAGCCACAATGTTCTTCTTCTGCCTGGAACTCGTTTGCCTTCAATATTTCCCTGGAGGATTAAATGGAGTATGCTGTATTTTTCTGGGTGTCGCATCACATGTCCGAAATATTCTAATTTTCGTTTTTTAATTGTTTTGATGATTTTCCTTGGCTTTCCCAGGTGGCTTATTACTTCCTCATTTCTGATCTTGTCAACCCAGCTTATTGTCTATATTAAATGTATGTAATATTTATTACAAAATATCAGTATCAATTTGGCTATTGCTTTCAGATAGAAAGGTAGAATGATAGGTAGGTAGGTAGGTAGGTGGAGAGAGGGGGGGGCAGGCAGGCGGGCAGAGAAATAGATAAATGCTTCTTCGGGAATCCTCAAAAATCTGTTGTCCCTTCTATTATCAAGATTTGTTTTTCTCTCCCCAGAGGCACTGAAGAAAAAAAATTCCTGTCGAAAGTGTGGAAAATGCTTCCTTCAGAAATCGGATCTGGCTATCCATCGACTACTTCACAAGGGAGAGAAACCTTTTAAATGCCTGGACTGTGCAAAATATTTTGTTCATCACTCCGAGCTTGTGAAACACCAGCGCGTCCATACAGGAGAGAGACCCTTTAAATGCTTCGAGTGTGGAAAATGTTTTTCACGGCAGTCTGTCCTTGTCAACCATCACCGGATCCACACAGGAGAAAAACCTTATCGGTGCCTGGAGTGTGTGAAATGTTTTACTCAGAGATCACAGCTCATCCGACACCGAAGGGTCCACACGGGAGAGAAACCTTATAAATGTCTGGAGTGTGGGAAGTGTTTTGCCCGTCACTCGGTTCTCATCAATCACCAGAGAGTCCACACCGGAGAAAAACCGTACCAGTGCTTACAGTGTACCAAATGTTTTGCCCGTCAATCTGTCCTGGTGAGCCATCAAAGAGTCCACACGGGAGAGAAGCCCTACAAGTGTCAGGAGTGTGGCAAACACTTTGCTCATCAGTCGAACCTGGTCAACCATCAGAGAATTCACACAGGGGAGAAGCCCTACAAATGCATGAAATGTGGAAAAAGTTTTGCCCAACAATCTGATCTTGTAAAACACAGGAGAATCCACACAGGGGAGAGACCTTACAAATGCCCAGAATGTGGGAAATCTTTTGCGATCCGTTCAGATGTTGTGAATCACCAGAGGGTCCATACAGGAGAGAAGCCTCACAAATGCCCGGAATGTGGGAAGTGTTTTGCTCAACGTTCGGCTCTTGTCAGTCATCAAAGAGTCCACACGGGAGAAAAGCCGTACAAGTGCCTGGAGTGTAAGAAATGTTTTGCTCAGCTATCCAATCTTGTGAAACACCAGCGAATCCACACAGGAGAGAAACCCTATAAATGCCTAGTGTGTGGGAAATGCTTCAGGCGGCGTTCCCATCTTCACGTGCACCATCGAGTTCATTCGAGAGTTAAGCCTAGTGATGACCTTAAGTGGGACAATGGCTTTGAAGAGCCAAGAAATGTTATTCAGTGTGGATCGGCGAGCTCAAATGAAATACATTCTGAATAATTTATATTTAGTTAAAACGAAAAGGTTCCGGAAAATAATGCTTCCTTGATGCCGATGGAAGAAGACAGATATGACAGAAATAATGTTGAGGTACAACTCGATCATGGGAAAGGACTGAGTTTTAATGGCAGTAGCATGTGGAGCCCTAGTGGCTCAGTGGTTAAAGTGCAATACAGGTAGTCCTTGACTTATGACCACAACTGAGCCCAGAATTGATGTTGTTAAGTGAGAAATGTGTTAAATGAGTTTTGTCCCGTTTTATGACTTTTCTCGCCACAATTGTTAAGCAAATCACTGCAGTTGTTAAATTAGTACGGTTGTTAAGTGAATCTGGCTTCCCCATTGACTGCTTGTCAGAAGGTCACAAAAGATGGTCACATGACCCTGGGACACTGTAACCATCATAAACATGAACCAGTTGTCAAGCATCCAAATGTAAATCACATGACCATGGGGATACAGCAACGGTTATAACTGTGAAAAATGGTCACCTCACTTTTTTCAGTGCTATTGTAACTTTGAATGGTCACTAAGGAAACTGTTGTAAGTTGAGGACTATCTATATTGTAGGCTATCCCTACCCACAGCCAGGAATATGATCCTGACAAGGGTCAAGATTGACTCAGCCTTCCATTCTTTTGAGGTCAGTAAAATAAGGACCGAGATAGTAGGGGCCAATATGCAAATAATGCTTACATTGTATAACCAGAGAGTGCGGTGAAACACTATGGGGCGGTATATCAGATTGAATGCTACTGCTAGCACTATACGATCAATTGGCTCAGTTGCCCATGTTTAATAATAATAATAATAATAAAAGTTGGAAGGGACCTTGGAGGTCATCCAGTCCAACCCCCTGCTCAGGCAGGAAACCCTATACCATTTCAGACAAATGGCTGTCCAGTCTCTTCTTAAAAACTTCCAGTGTTGGAGCATTCACCACTTCTGGAGGCAGGTTGTTCCATTGGTTAATTGTTCTAACTGTCAGGAAGTTTCTCCTTAGTTCTAGGGTGCTTCTCTCCTTGATTATTTTCCATCTGTTGCTTCTTGTCCTGCCCTCAGGCGCTTTGGAGAATAGCTTGACTCCCTCTTCTTTGGGGCAACCCCTGAGATATTGGAACACTGCTTTCATGTCCCCCCTTGTCCTTCTCTTCATTAAACTAGACATATCAAATTCCAGCAGCCGTTCCTTATAGCCTCCAGTCCCCTAATAATCTTTGTTGCTCTTCTCTGTACTCTTTCTAGAGTCTCAACATCTTTTTTACATCGTGGTGACCAAAACTGGATGCAGTGTTCCAAGTGTGGCCTTACCAAGGCATTGTAAAGTAGTATTGATATGTTGTTCCTCCCAGAACGTTTTGGGTTAATCAGCTTGTCTGTTTTTTATCTTTCATCATACAGAAATAACAAACTCCCAAGTGTTTCAAAACAGCAGCAAAGCTAGCAACAATGAAGTGTGTAAATGTCCTTGCGTGGGTCCTATTGAACTGGTGCTTTCTATGGCCTTTTTCCTGGTTTAAATTGGAACTAAATTTTTTTGGGGGGAGGTGACTTTCTATGAAGGAAACTAGTTGGCACAGGAAGGTATTGGGGAACCTTCCAATTCATCATCTTGTTCTAAAGCAGGGGTCCTCAGCTGTAGGACACGGCCCGCTACTGGCCACCAGGCCATGCGAGTGGCTGACTGGTGCGCACCTGTGCACACAGCCCCACTCGCAAGAGCATTGCCGCGAATGTTTGCAGTCCCAGTCGTGTGAGCGTTGCCATGAGCTCACTGAGGAATTCTGGGAGTTGAAGTCCACAAGTCATAAAAAGGCCAAGTTTGAAGGCCCCTGCTTTAGAGCCTCCCTGAATATCTGGCTTGAGAAAGCAGCATCAGGGGAAGATAATAATAATAATAATAATAACAAAAACAACCATAATAATAATAAAGTTGGAAGGGACCTTGGAGGTCATCTAGTCCAACCTCCTGCTCAGGCAGGAAACCCTATACCAGTGATGGCAAACCTTTTAGAGACGGAGTGCCCAAAACTGGCCCTGCCCTGCCCCCACCCCGTCTGCCCACAGGGCTACTCACTGCCTCCAGGGCACGCCGCAGATCGCCCAGGCAGCCCAGAAGCGCATGGCAGCCATGCCCTCTACCCACACCCCGCAGCATCAACTGTGCGGGATGGGGCGTGAGGGCAGAGTTTTGTCTACGCAGCCTGGCTGCCATGTCCTTGGCTGCGCTGCTCCGTGTGGGCCACGCTCGGGGGTGACTCTCCTCCAGGGGGGCTGCTGGTGAGGAGGGGGTCGTGGCTGGGGCAACAGCACATATGCCCACAGAGAAGGCTCCGAGTGCTGTCTCTGGCACGTGTGCCAGAGGTTCGCCACCACTGCCCTTTACTATTTTAGACATAAAAAAAGCCAAGAGACAAAACGGTCACATGGTTTTTTTAGATGGCTTTCTAATACTTCCTGTCCTGCCTCAGATGCCATAGTATTTGTGTTGGAACAGCCTCCAGTCGCCCTTTGGAATTTACACCTGATGACTAGGAGTGTGCAAGAACTTTCCAAATGCTTAGGAAGACAAGCATCGTAACTTTTTAACATAAGTCACATCCCTTTCTGTCAGGTTTCCATGTGAACCGCAAACCAAACATCGCTATTTTAATGAGTCAAATCCTTAAAGCAGCCAGCTCTTCTGAATCTCTTTAAAGCATGTATAGATCTCTTCAATACTGGATTTCCAATGGCTGATGAAAACTGCTGTGTTGCATTCAGTGCAGAACTGTGGAACAGGCCTGCATTACGGGAATGAGTAGGAAGACTCAAATGGTGCAGTGAGGCCTTGCAGACTTTGAATTAATCAAATTACCCAGTTTGGGAAAATCTTTTGCAGCCTTCGTTAGGGCTGGACTGAAGCAAAGAGTGAGACCTGCCAAAACTACAGGTAATCCTTGACGTTTTTGGTTTTGTTTGTTTTTTTTTGATAAACTTGATTTTTTAAAATGTGGATAATTCCTACCTAGCATCTAAAGATTTTGAAATGCATTAAGAAAGACCCCTATGTCAACAGCCCTATAGGTAGTAGACCTTGACTTAATAACCTGTCATTTAAGGACTGAAATTACAATGGACCCTAAAAATGGGACTTACAACCTGGATTCAAAGTTCCAATGTCCATCCTCCCCTTCCTTGCAATCATGTAACCACATTTTGGCTGCTCATCAACCAGCCCACATTTATGGCCATTTGCAGCAGACATTTTTTGCTGGAAATCACCATTTACTTCTATTTTTCGGCAAACCCAGCCCCCCCCCCAACAGAGCAAACCATGGATTCAATTAAAAACCACCGCATTCACTTAATGACTATGGTATTCACTTAACAATTACAACCTTTGCTTAACAAAAAAAAAAGTAAAAATACCAAGTCTGGTATATGGTGACTCATTTTATGACCATCATGACTTATGTACTGTATATGCGGGGCTCAATTACTGTAGTAAGATGAAGACTACCCGTACTTGGGGGAGGAAAGGAGTTCAACAATTTGAGGCCTCTTTTTATTTATACCAGTGGTTCTCAACCTGTGGGTCGGGACCCCATTTGGGGTCGAACAACCATTTCACGGGGGTCGCCAAACAACGCAGTCCGCCATTTTTTTCCCCTTTTCCTTAGCTGTGCTACTCCCTTTTATTCTATTGGCTTTTGAAAGCCAATAGAATAGACTCTCTTGAATAGAGTCTAATTCTATTGGCTTTCAAAAGCCAATAGGAATTGTCCAGGCTGTCTCTGCCCTGCTGAGCCCGCCAAAAGTCCCATTCTGCAAACGGTGCTGCACCAGTTGAGTAGTCCTCGACTTACGACCGGTTGGGGTCGCGGCATTAAAAAGGTTGAGAACCACTGATTTATACAGTAACACATGCTTTTGTATCAATACCAAAACAGAACAGATCAGCACCAAATTTAGTGTGTGGGGAGAAGATAGAAGAAAAGGATCATACTTCCCACCTTAGTCTTTTACTTGTTCATAGGAAGTTTTGATTTCTGAATACATGCAGTATATCTTACAAGACACCTTAAGTTTCTCATGAATAAACTGATTCTGAAAATAACTTGATGCAGGTTTTAAGAATTGGTATTATGTAATTAAGTATTAAATTGAGGGATGGGGCAAGAAGAAGGGATGAATTATCTGTAAAAACTTTTGCTGGATTTCTCTAAATTTAAATTGAAATCGTTCTGGTCTGAGAAATTTGTGATGTACAACTCTATAAGTTGTGTATAAAAATCATTTTTTTGCATTAGTAATTTATATAAAGTATTGCAAATCAATTAAATATATACATAAAACAATCTTCTGACTAGTTTCATTTTCCTTCCTTTTAAGCAGGTACCTTTTAACTGTTATAATTTTAGTTGCACAGAAATCACAATATATACAACAACCACTACCAATGAATATACCATTTTATTTATATATCATAAGCTCTAGTCCAGGGCTTTTCAACCAGTGGTACGGGTACCACCTGTGGTACGTTGGAACCTGGCAGGTGGTATACAACCATCCTAGAAAAGTAGCAGGGGAGGGGAATGAGCTGAACCAGTGGCAGCACCGCAGAAGCCTGAGCAAGAGATGGCTGGAGCTGCAGGGCTGTCAGGGCTCAGCGGAAGCACCAGAATCAGCGGCAAGCTCCAGCTGCAGCTCGGCGTTGATCCTGGCGCTTCTGCTGAGCCCAGAAGACGCACCGATCAACTGGAAAGCAGCACTGATCCTGGCACTTCTGCTGAGCCCAGAAGAAATGCCGATCAGCTGGAATGTTGCAGCCTCTCCAGGCTCTTGTGATTTACATTCAGATGCTTGGCAACTGATTCATATTTATGACGGTCACAGTGTCCCAGGGTCATGTGAAGTGACCAAAACCTGCTGCAACCACTTAGCAGAATGGGGGAATAAAAACCAAACATCCCCCCATCCCATTCCCACTGCCAATCCTCAACAGAAATGCTCACAACAATGAAAACGTCAGACAGGAGGACGAGCGCGGCCAGGCAGGCAGGCGTCTTGCTTGGCTGTGGCTTGGGGGGCACTTTTTCAGTGCCGTTGTAACTTTGAACAGTCACTAAGTGAACTGTTGTAAGTTGAGGACTATCTATACTTCATCACTTTTTTCCTTTTTTTTTTTTTGATCGTGAAGTTTTTGACACCTTGCTAGGCGACTAGTACTCGGATATTGCCATATCGTAAAAGTGGTACAATGGGTGAAAAGGTTGAAAAGCCCTGCTCTAGTCAAGTAAGGTTGTCAAACTCGTGCACAGGCCACGCCCATCCCAGCTCCGCAAAGGCAAAAAGTCGCGATATATTACGTGACACAATCAAGTTTGACACCCGTGCTAGTCTAGTACTTTTAGTTAGAAAGGTTAAACATGATGCTGTAAGGCAGGGTTGTTCAAACTTGGTCCTTTTATGACTTGTGGACTTCAACTCCCAGCGTGCCTGGCTGAGGAATTCTGAGAGTTGAAGTGCACGAGTCATAAAAGGGCCAATTTTGAAGACCCCTGCTGTAAGGTCCAAAAAAAGAAAAAAAGGCTTAGCCAATTCAGAATTATGGAAGCTACATTCAGTTTATACATGGAAGGCAACTGATTGCACATTTTCACTAAAGTGATTAGCATTGGAGGTGGGGGCAGGGTAGCAGTTTCATTCCATTGTATGAAAAATACTAGTGTCGAGGCATGATGTTTAAACCAGTGGTTCTCAACCTTTCTAATGCCGCGACCCCATAATACAGTTCCCCATGTTGTGGTGACCCCCAACCACTTATACAACACTGGGTGCCAGGGGTGTGGCCAAAGAAAAGGGGGAAAAATAGTAATAGTAATAGTAGTAAAGTTGGAAGGGACCTTGGAGGTCATCTAGTCCAACCCCCTGCTCGGGCAGGAAACCCTACACCATTTCGGACAAATGGCTGTCCAGTCTCTTCTTAAAAACTTCCAGTGTTGGAGCATTTACTGCTTCTGGAGGCAAGCTGTTCCACTGATTAATTGTTCTCACTGTCAGGAAGTTTCTCCTTAGTTCTAGGTTGCTTCTCTCCTTGATTAGTTTCCACCCGTTGCTTCTTGTCCTGCCTTCAGGTGCTTTGGAAAATAGCTTGATTCCCTCTTCTTTATGGCAGCCCCTGAGATATTGGAATACTGCTATCATGTCCCCCCTTGTCCTTCTCTTCGTTAAACTAGACATACCCAATTCTAGCAACCGTTCCTTATATGTTTTAGCCTCCAGTCCCCTAATCATCTTTGTTGCTCTTCTCTGTATCTTTCTAGAGTCTCAACATCTTTTTTACATCGTGGTGACCAAAACTGGATGCAGTATTTCAGTGTGGCCTTACCAAGGCATTGAAGAGTGGTATTAATACTTCACGTGATCTTGATTCTATCCCTCTGTTAATGCAGCCTAGCACACATGTGTTGCCTTTTTGGCAGCTGCAGCACACTGCTGGCTCATATTTAAGTGATTGTCTACTAGGACTCCGAGGTCCCTCTCACAGTTACTACTATTGAGCATGGTGCCACCTATGCTGTACTTGTGCATTTGGTTTTTCTTGCCTAAATGTAGAACCTTGCTTTTTTCACCATTGAATTTCATTTTGTTAGTTAGTGCCCAGTGTTCAAGTCTGTCCAGATCCTTCTGTATCTGAAGGACAGCCTTGTTTGGCGACCCCCGTGAAATGGTCGTTCGACCCCAAATGGGGTCCCGACCCACAGGTTGAGAACCACTGGTTTAAACTGAGCCTCACTGTTCAGGAACTGTGTATCTCAGTGGTTCTCAACCTGTGGGTCGGGACCCCATTTGGGGTCGAACGACCATTTCACGGGGGTCGCCAAACAACGCAGTCCACCATTTTTTCCCCCTTTTCCCTTAGCTGTGCTACTCCCTTTTATTCTATTGGCTTTTGAAAGCCAATAGAATAGACTCTATTGAATAGAGTCTAATTCTATTGGCTTTCAAAAGCCAATAGGAATTGTCCAGGCTGCCCTGCTGAGCCTGCCAAAAGTCCCATTCTGCAAACGGTGCTGCACCAGTTGAGTAGTCCTCGACTTATGACCGGTTGGGGGTCACGGCATTAAAAAGGTTGAGAACCACTGGTGTATCTGAATAACTGCTATATAAATAAAATGCGGAGGAGGGGGTTATCTCCCTTCACTTTCATGTCTTGCTTGTTGATCTCCAAAGCTGAGTGGCTGCAAGATCTGGTGGAAGCTTTTGGCTGCAGATCATGCTGGCTGGGGGGATTCTGGGACTCGAAATTCATCCATCTCACCGTGGCTAGCATCGAATAGTGAAAAGAAAGGAAGACTACGAGTCCCAGAAGCGCCTCCGTTCCATTCGGAAGGGAAGCAAATTGGACCACAAATCCCAGCGGTCATTGGGCTTCCTGATTCCAGATTCGAAAGCAGGATTGGCTGAGAGCGGCCAACGTGATGGAAGTGTCAAAAATATGGAGGCGGCGCGGGCGCCTGACCAGGTGAGGAAGCATACGGGCGGGCGGTGAAGGCAGCCAAGTGCGTGGGACCCATGCATAGGAGGACTCCTCTATCGTTCTTCATACTTTTGGAGAGGTGCAAAAACTTTGCATCACGGAGCTGCCTTGGGGGGGGGGGGGTTGAGAAGGAAAAAGATGTTTCCTGGATTCCTGCTTTGCTATAGACCACGAGTCGGTCGGGAGAGTTCGCAAAGTTCTTGTGATCTGGGAAAAGGGATGGGACAGAGTCGTGGGAGCATGCACAGGCAAGGAGTGCGTAAAGCTTTTTTGGAGTGTGTCAAGAGCATCGCAGGGCTTTTTCCAATTTATGCTTTCCAGATGTTTTGGGTTGCATCAGCCCGCTCGCTTGGCTGCTTACTGGCGGTGATGGGGTTTGTTTGGAAGAGGAGGGTTAACGTAAGCTAGGGAGCGCTTCATAATTATGGAAGAAAAGATGAGACTAAGAATTATGCAGTTGCCTAAATTCAGCCTCTGTCCAGAAATGGACTGTTCGCCCTCACTGAGTCCAGCAAAAATAATAAAAATGCAACAATCTGTTTCATTTCTGGGTTGCTTTCTGCCTCTCATGTAATCTGTTATTCCAATTTTAGGAGGTGCCCAGCAACAGCTTTTGTGTCACAAGCTGGCTGCTCTGAAAAATACTATTTTTCAAACAAGAATGTGCTGTCTAAGTTCGCAAAGTCACAAGAGAACGCATTAGCTAGTTAAATGGTTCGAGTTGTTATATTTTAAATGCCTGGGAATGGGGAAAATACTTGTCACATATGATAACTTGATGGCCTTTGGATATTGGAACATCCAAGCTGGGATGAAGATGTGTTTTCGTTCAGGCAGTAAAATGCCTTAGTTGGATTTCCATAGAAAATTAGGAATGACAGACAAAAGGAGACGTAAACTACTCCAGGTCTTTCATTACTTGGCTTGAAGCATGCATATGTTGCATAGCTGAAGTGACTGAGTTACTAACAAACGAATCCTGTGTATTTACAGAGATAAATAACCATACAGAGGACTGAGCTCTAGATACTATGATAATTTTCTCCAGTAGTAAACCTTGCTGGGATAATGGAATATGACTTCAGTCCACTGACCACAATTCCTGAGAGTCACATTAAGGTGAGAAAGTTGTCTTCCTTTTCATGAAATGGACAAAAATGCTGATCAATAAGTCAGCAATCTGCAGATTGATGGACCAGCTCCCAAAATACTTCTGCTGGCAGGGATGTTGCTGAGAATTCTGGGAGTTGAAATCCACAGCTGGGGAAAACTGGAGCAATGCTGTTTAGCTGGAAGACCTCATGCAGCACTGAAGCCTATTAGAGCAGTGTTTCTCAACCTTGGCAACTTTAAGATGTGTGGACTTCAACTCCCAGAATTTTTCAGCCAGCATGCTGACTGGGGAATTCTGGGAATTGAAGTCCACATATCTTAAAGTTGCTAAGGCTGAGAAACACTGATTTAGAATCTGCAACATACATTAAATCAGGATTGGATAAGAGATAGATTTGGATCGATTGTAATACCACTGAGCTATTTAAAGGAGCTTGGAAGGATTTCTGACCTCCAGTTAGTACAGCATTTCATATAGGTTTACTGTTTTTCAGTAGCTCCATAAATGAGATTTCTGTCCTGTTTTTCTGTTTCTGTTTTAAATTTATTGAAAATCATGTTGAGGAACATAAATGGAAAATGCTCAAATCCCACTTGAAAACTTCCCTGAAAAATCTAGTTGAGTACAGTGGGAATGGAGTATATAATGGAGAATTAAGTATTTTTTCTGCAGGATCTCACTTCCAGATTTGCAGAATTTAATAGCCACAGCTAGCCCTTAATGCCTAAGTGCCAATTTGTTTATCTGTAGCTTTTTGTAGTCTTTACATCCTATTTGGACTACAGGCCAGAGTTTGCAGTGAGAAAGCCCAATCTTTGCCCCTATCAAATGTTATTCCAGGCTGCAAGCGTGGTATGGAGCACGTAACCCGCAGTTTGAATTTTTGAAAGAGTAAACTGCTTATAACCTAAAGATACTCCTATGCGGATAAGGTCCTGACTGGTGAATCATTTTGCTTTCTACCAATTATCATGAGAATATTTTAATTTGATGCATGTCTTCATAGATTGCACCTGAGTTCCACTGGTTAGCTGTCCAGGCATATAAATGTAATAAATAAATAAAATTTAAAAAATAATCAATCAGCTAGCTAGCTGCTTATGCCCACATACGTATCTGTAAATGTTATTTTTCTTACAGAATTCAGTGACCTTTGAAGATGTGGCTGTGTATTTCACAGAGGACCAGGGGGCTCTGCTGGATCAAAAACAGAGAACCTTGTATGAAGATGTCATGGTGGAAAATTATGTGATTGTGGCCTCACTGGGTAAGGAGCTAGATGAAAAGCCGATATGTATCCTCTATGGCAGTGTTTCCCAAACTTGACAATTTTAAGGCATGAGGACTTCAACTCCCAGAATTCCACAGCCAGCGTTGCTGGCTGTGGAATTCTGGGAGTTGAAGTCCTCATGCCTTAAAATTGTCAAGTTTGGGAAACACTGCTCTATGGCCAGTTAGGCACAGAAATGGTGGGATTGTAGAATGCTGTCTATCCCATAGGAAATGAAAACAACCTCAAGGGAATTCTTCACTAAGCTTCTAGGAGCTTGCAAAAAAAGTTTGAACCGTTTTATTTACAGTGACCACTCTTCCTTGATTATACATTAATTATACATTAATCAAGGAGAGAAGCAACTTAGAATTAAGAAGAAATTTCCTGACAGTTAGAACAATGAATCAGTGGAACAATTTGCCTCCAGAAGTTGTGACTGCTTCAACACTGGAAATTTTTAATTTGCCATTTGCCTGAAATGGTATAGGGCCGTGGTGGCGACCCTATGGCACGCGTGCCACAAGTGGCACTCAGAGCCTTCTCTGTGGGCACACGCGCAGTCGCCCCAGTCCTAGGCCTTCAGCTGGATTTTATAAAACCTTTTCGCTTTAGGCCTTCGCCACCGTGTGCAAAAAAAAAAAAAAAAGGTTCAGTCAATCAATCAATTTCAACTTCGCGCGGGGAAAAGAAAGTTCTTGCAAAGTTGGAATTGATTGATTGAACTTTTTAGTCCCATCCAGTCTGCCGTTACCACTGCAGCCACACCCACCCAATGGTCCATGCCCACCCAATTGACTACACCCACCCAGCTGGCCCCGCCCACCCAGCACCCTATGATACATAAGTGAGTTTTGGGTTGAAGTTTGGGCACTCGGTCTCTAAAAGGTTCGCCATCACTGGTATAGGGTTTCCTGCCTGAGCAGGGGGTTGGACTATAAGACCTCCAGGGTCCCTTTCTACTCTACTCTATACTCTATTCTATATTTCAGAAAGTTGCTCTTAAGACTTATTTTCCAAAAACTCACTTTGGTCCTTGATTTTGGTTATTTAACTTTTACTGTACAAATGATACCACTTAATGCAGAATTCTTCATATTCATAGGAAAAACATTAATGTTTCACATGACCACATTTAGGGCATTTGGCAACCAGCTTTGCATTTAGGACTGTTTGTCGTGTCATGTGGATGTGTGACCATGATTTGTAATGTTTCTGCTTTTGGCTTTTGGTGTTTTTTTTCCTAGTTTCTGTCAAAAAAATGCCCATTTGGGAGGATGGAGTCACTTAACGACTGCATGATTCACTTATAACCTCTGTAAAAAAAATGATAGAAAAATTGCATTCGGGCATAGGGGTGCCTCAACTTACCACAATGTATGACTGAAATTCCAGTCCCAACTGTGGTCATAAGTTGAGGACTTACCTGTAAAGTTTTATTACAGTTTGAGAGAGACAAGTCTGAAAAGGACCCAGGGAAGGAAGAAAGGATCAGGCAAAGGTGGAGCATCGTTACTATTTTATCAGTCTCCTCCTTCAGTTCAAATATTATTGTTTGGTTGCAAGGCCTGTTGCATTTCTAATTCAAACGCATTTCAGCGATTTCCTAGGAAACCAGTGATAGGATTATAATTACGGCAAACGTTTTTGCTATTTGTGCTACGATTTATACCAGTGGTTCTCAACCTGTGGGTCGGGACCCCATTTGGGATCGAACGACCATTTCACGGGGGTCGCCAAACAACGCAGTCCGCCATTTTTTTCCTCTTTTCCATAGCTGTGCTACTCCCTTTTATTCTATTGGCTTTTGAAAGCCAATAGAATAGACTGTCTTGAATAGAGTCTAATTCTATTGGCTTTCAAAAGCCAATAGGAATTGTCCAGGCTGTCTCTGCCCTGCTGAGCCCGCCAAAAGTCCCATTCTGCAAACGGTGCTGCACCAGTTGAGTAGTCCTCAACTTACGACCGGTTGGGGGTCGCGGCATTAAAAAGGTTGAGAACCACTGATTTAGATTGAGGCTGTATGTTTTCATATTGCCATGTTTTGCTCTGCATGGCGTGGCTTTAGGGTGTGGTCGGAAAAGTCAAGATGGCAGCCACAACGGTGTGATTGAAGCGCCACCTGCCTTTTTAGACATCATCATCTTCATTTTCTGAACTCTGCTGGGCAGGCACACCTGCTCCTAGGCTTCACAACTGACCCTTACTATGCTGATCACATTCTTCCATATCTACTCACCTTCAGGTTTTCTAACCCTCAAGCCTGCCCTTATCTCTCAGATAGAACGTGGAGAAGAGCCGTGGCTGCCAGAAACCGCCAAAGTGGATGATACAGAGATATCTAACACCAATGCAGGTAAAAGTTTAGTAATTAGGCAATTGGGCCTGTTTAATCCAGTGGTTAAGATGCTGGGCTAGAACCTAGAAGTCTGCAAGTTCTAGTCTTACCTTAGGCATCAGTATAACATTTCCACATGCCTTGAGCATAATTGATGACTTGGAAATAGCCACATGTTGACAGGGCTCACCATACAGATCAGCACAGCAGAGGCCAGGAAGAGTAACACTGTAAGAAGTCCTGCCAGAGTTCTTTGATGTTCACTTTTTGCTCCTGCTCCTCTGCAAGACACTCTTCTATATTTAATGGAATCGTCAATTCCATATCTTCCAACCTGGGAACCTTCTTTAAGGCAGGATCATGTTGGATAATTGTTCCATTTTTATAACTTAGAACCTTCATTTTACTGACCTGGAGGATTTGAGTGATGGTGGGAAAAAAAAAACTTTTCTGTGGCATAGGCAGAGACCAAGCTATGGCAGAGGCAACAGATACAGAAGTAAGTGACACCACATTCAAACTGAACAAGGACCAGCCTACAACAGATACTAGGACTTGTCCACAGACAGAGCCCACAGTATAGCCACAAGGGCAGCACTTCGACAGTAGCTTGTGACTTTCTGGTACAAGTTCAAGTCCACAACACTATAAATGTAAGAATAATAAGCGATTTCTGTTGCAGTCACTAATCCATAAAAGAATTCCAGGAACTGAACAGCTAGAATTCTTTGGGAGTATAGAAGCATAAACCATGTTACTATAAGGCTTAGTCCTTGCAGACGGATGACAGGCTTGTATCTGAGATAATCTGTGGCCAAGAAGACTGGGAACAGCAGCACTAGATAAGAGTATATCCATACTGGATAAATTTCATTGAAGACCTTGGGTTAGTTGCTATTTTAGTCTTACCTAGGAGTTGTTGTTGTGGAAAATAGGTGGAGAAAGGAGTATTAAGTATATTGGTCACCTTGAGTTACTTATAGGGATAAAAATATAATAAATATATTCCCTCCAACAAATTCTGCTCTTAGAAATTTCTGAAATACAACTTGTCTCTTGTGAACTGAGTGTCAAGTTTTGAAGCACTTTTTTTCCTGCTGCAACAGTTATTGCTTCTCAGCTTGCCAATGAACTCAGGGGGGAGGGAATCGGATTGGAATTCAGACTTCAAAGATTAAGGAAGCAGACCATGGGAACCAAGGACATTGACCATGTGTCTGGCTAGACCCAGAGATACTTTCTCATAACAATATCGCTGCATTTAATTGGGCATTGTGACCTGATCCAGAGGGAGGAGAGAGAATTCTATGCTTTCACTATATAGGGCTTGGGTGAGGTTTTTGCCAGAGCTGGTTACACTTTCACATGTCCCAAAATGGTGTACTCAATAAAGTTTTGCATTAAGAGATTGGAATGTCTCGAAAGTGTTTGCTTGGTTGGGTTCGAACCTTGACACTGAGGGTTTTTTGTGTGTGTGGAGTTGGAGATTCCTTGATCTTTTACTTTAAGGACACAAATAGTTATTTTGCAACAAAGGAGAAAAAACACTTTAAAAAGTGTTTTCTGAGATGGAAGGTCATATGAACACATTTGAATCAATAATAATTATGTCCCATGCTTCCACTTAAAAAAACATTAAAAAGTGTTTTTTAAATGGACGCCTGGGCCATAATTATCAGTTGTTGATTTAAATATGTTCATATGACCTTCCATTTCAGAAATGCAACCTTGGGCAGCTTATATGTATGATAGGATAGGACAGGACTTAAATGCAGTATCTAAAATATATATATTGAAGTAATAGTAATAGTAGTAAAGTTGGAAGGGACCTTGGAGGTCATCTAGTCCAACCCCCTGCTCAGGCAGGAAACCCTACACCATTTCGGACAAATGGCTGTCCAGTCTCTTCTTAAAAACTTCCAGTGTTGGAGCATTTACTGCTTCTGGAGGCAGGCGGTTCCACTGATTAATTGTTCTCACTGTCAGGAAGTTTCTCCTTAGTTCTAGGTTGCTTCTCTCCTTGATTAGTTTCCACCCGTTGCTTCTTGTCCTGCCTTCAGGTGCTTTGGAAAATAGCTTAATTCCCTCTTCTTTATGGCAGCCCCTGAGATATTGGAATACTGCTATCATGTCCCCCCTTGTCCTTCTCTTCGTTAAACTAGACATACCCACTTCTAGCAACCGTTCCTTATATATTTTAGCCTCCAGTCCCCTAATCATCTTTGTTGCTCTTCTCTGTACTCTTTCTAGAGTCTCAACATCTTTTTTACATCGTGGTGACCAAAACTGGATGCAGTATTCCAAGTGTGGCCTTACCAAGGCATTGAAGAGTGTTATTAATACTTCACGTGATCTTGATTCTATCCCTCTGTTAATGCAGCCTAGCACTGTGTTGGCCTTTTTGGCAGCTGCCGCACACTGCTGGCTCATATTTAAGTGATTGTCTACTAGGACTCCGAGGTCCCTCTCACAGTTACTACTATTGAGCATGGTGCCACCTATGCTGTACTTGTGCATTTGGTTTTTCTTGCCTAAATGTAGAACCTTGCTTTTTTCACCAGTGAATTTCATTTTGTTAGTTAGTGCCCAGTGTTCAAGTCTGTCCAGATCCTTCTGTATCTTAAGCCTGTCTTCTGGAGTGTTGGCTAGTCCTGCCAGCTTGGTGTCGTCTACAAATTTGATGAGTTCCCCATCTATCCCCTCATCCAAATCGTTGGTGAAGATGTTGAAGAGCACTGGGCCCAGAACAGAGCCCTGGGGCACCCCACTACACACTTCCCTCCATATAGATGCAGTTCCATTGAGGACCACATACTGAGTACGGCCGGTCAGCCAGCTACGGATCCATCTGGTGGTGATTCTGTCTACCCCACATTTTTCCCCACAGTATTCCGGCTGCACTCATTGGCAGGCTTTTGCATCTTGTCATGCAATATCGACAAAACCAACACAGGCTTAGCTAAAGCTATTTGCCCTCTGATTCAGTAGCATCTGTTTTAAGATGAAGTTAATTTTGCCTTTGAAAATGATCGAATAAGACTTTATTTGCAGTGAGGTATTTTTTTGCTGTGTATATTTGCAAAGATTCTACCAAGAGCAATATAAGTTTATGGCAGTGTTTTTCAGTCTTGGCCTCTTTAGGATGTGTGAACTTCAACTCCCAGAATTCTCAAACTGGCAGGGGAATTCTGGGAGTTGAAATCCACAGGCCATTCAAGAACACTGAGCTATACTATAATATTTTTTTATGTTATTAATAGCTTTTCTAAGCTATTCTAAGCCTAGCAGTTACCATTGTACAGGTTGTCCTTGACTTACAACCATTCGTTTAATGACAGTCAAAGTGACAGCAGCACTAGAAAAAGCGACCTCTGACCATTTTCCACTCTTATGACCATTACAGCATCCCCATCGTCATGTAATCAAAATTCAGATGCTTGGTAACTGGCATGTATTTATAACAGTTGCAATGTCCTGGGGGGTCACGTGATCAGCTTTTACCACCTTCTGACGAGCAAAGTCAATGGGGAAGCCAGATTCACTTAACAACCATGTTACTAACATAACAACTGCAGTGATTCACTTAACAACTGTCATAAATGGGGCAAAACTCACTTAGCTGTTTCGCTTAGGCAACAGAAATTTTGTTGCTCAGTTATGGTTGTCAGTTGAGGACTATTCATATTTGTCTTTTATTCCATCAGATGATTCTGTGGAGAACAGTTTGTGCTCTTCGCTGCACGACAAATACTACAATGAGGCACACCAGAAAAACCTTATGGGAAAGGAGTCCTTCCTGTGTGAGACCTGTGGGAACTCTTTCACTAGCTGGCCAGGCCCTGCAACCCCACAGGGAATGCCCACAACAGAGAGACCTTATGAATGCATGGAATGCGGGGGACAGGCTCAACAATCTTCTACTTTCATGGACCACTGGAGGATTCACCCAGGAGAAGAGGCCTATGAGTGCCTAGACTGCAGGGAGCATTTCCCATGGTCCTCTGCTCTTGTTAAGCACCATCAGGACCAGGTTGCCAATGGGCATCACCACCATGTGTGTCTGGAATGCCAGAAGTGTTTTGCTCATGAGTTGGGCCTTTTGAGCCACCAGAAGGTCCACCTCCAAGAAAAACAACACAAATGTTTGCAGTGTGGGGAACATTTTGCCGACCACCCGGCCTTTGTGAGGCACCAGAGAGCTCACACTGGCAAGAAACCCTACAAGTGCCTCCAGTGTGGGAAGTGTTTTGCGGACAGGTCCCACGTGGTGGCTCACCAGAGGATTCACAGAGGGATGAACCCATTCAAATGCTCCGAGTGTGGGGAATGTTTTGACCAGCACTCGACCCTCGTGAGTCACTGGATGGTCCACACGGGAGAACAACCCTACGAGTGCCTGGAGTGCGGCAAATGCTTTCCTCGACCCTCGTCTCTCGTGAAGCATTGCCGCATCCACACAGCCGAGAAACCGTACACCTGCTTGGACTGTGGGAAGTTCTTTGCCCAGCGCTCAGGCCTGGTTAAACATCAGCGCATCCACACGGGAGAGAAGCCTTACGTGTGCTCGGAGTGTGGAAAATGTTTTGCGGACAGCTCCTCCCTCGCCAGACACAAAAGGGTTCACACGGGAGAGAAGCCCTACATGTGTTCCGAATGTGGGAAACGCTTTTCAGACCGATCCAATGTCTTGGCTCATAAGAGAGTCCACACGGGAGAGAAGCCTTACAAATGCCTGGAGTGCGGAAAGTGCTTCACTCACCGGTCACACATAGTGAAACACCAGAAATTTCACCTGAAAGAGAAGGCCTCAAAATACCAGCCGCCCCTGGAAAAAACCACGCAAATGTCACCATTTTCTAAAATGGTTAAACGTGAACTACTCTGAGCCTTCTGAAGGATCTTTATGTTTCATCCACATGGGCTTGATATCGATTACTCGTAACCAGGAATACACAGTTGTAGTTCTGTAATACCTCTGTTGTTTAACACATATGACCCGCCCATTGGGGATAGTTTTTAAGGGACAAAATGGATGCCTTAATCTTTGCAGAGGCTAAGACCTTTGCTATAATGCCAGGCATGGTAATAAAATCAGTGCTGGCTTTTCTGCATCATATTTAATTTCCATTGAAAAGCCCTTGGGTTAGACAAAATACTGCAGTCACTCAGTGGCAAACTGGTTGACTGAATTCATGGCTCCCAGATCTCAAATTACAGGTAGTCCTTGCTTAGTGACTGTCTCTAGCAACTATACAAAGCTAAAAGACATAAATAAAATACCATGAAGAACCTATTTATTTAAATAAATTTAATTTGTTTGCTGCCTATCTTGCTGTGAAGTGACACTGGGTAGCTTACAACATTAAAATATATGTGTATGTGTGTACACAGAGAGAGAGAGAAAGAGAGAGAGAGAGAAAGATTTCTGTTCACATTCTTGGATCTCTTAATGCTAGATGTTGTCATTAAATAAGTGGTATTTATTAGGGTTGTTGTTGTACAACTGCCTTGTCTATTTCACAGATTGTTACCCAGGATGTAGATGGCGTTGATCTATATTAACAAACCATTCTAACTAAGCCTGTCAGCTGCCATAAGATTTTATGTTTGCTTGTGCTTCGCTGCTATGTAGTGACAGACTGCCATGAACTGTGGGGAGGGGGAATGAAGGGAGAATGCTTGGAGAGATGAAAGTAAGGGCTGTATCTCCTTGAGATCACCTGGCTAGAAGAAGGAGGGGGCTGCATACCAAACTACACTCGGACTGACCATTATGAAAACATCTTGCCTGAACTACGGGACTAGGCAATAAGAGACTGTTAAGGGAAGGAAAATTGAACTTAAGGGATTTTGATGCACAATTCTCAGTTCTGGCTTTGCAGTACTGCTATACACTTGATCTCTAATAAAACTATACCTTTCTCAACAAATGGAACCAAGGATTGTTTCTATTTAGAGGTGTAAGTTGTGGCAGGTCTGACAAAGCCTTTTTAAAGCCAGCAAAACCCTGACTGGATATGTTTGGCCATGATTGTTCTAATACTGGAGGTTTTTAAGAAGAGATTGGACAACCATTTGTCTGAAATGGTGCAGGGTTTCCTACTTGAGCAGTGGAGTTGGACCAGAAGACCTCCAAGATCCCTTCAAACTCTATATTCTTTCCTGACATGATAGCATCCAGACTTATTTAAACTACAACTCTCAGAACTGGCCATGCTTGCTTGAAGTTCTGGTAGTTGTAGTCCCAAAACACCAAAAGAGATGCCAGGCTGGGTTATATTGCCCTATGTCATTATGGCTTGTGGCATTCCTTATTCCTTATTTCCTCAAATGAGTCTGAGGAAAGCAAACCAGGGTGTCTGTAGGGAGGCCCTTCTGTTGCTCCAGTTCCAGTGCTGAGATGCTGAATCCCTCCCTTTTCTTCCCCAGATATTCTGGAAACTGGACTGCAAATAGAGGAAGGTAAATGTAAGAATCACAATTGCTTGCTATTTTAAGCTCTGATGCCACTAACTTTAGAAGAAATAGAATACAGCAGGGGTGTCAAACTCAATTTCATTGAGGGCCACATCAGCACTGCGGTTGCCCTCAGGGGGCCGGGTGGGTGCGGCCGACTGGGTGAGCATGGATGGAGTGGGTGTGGCTAGCTCTACATCATTTGTGTCAAGGGTGCCTGTGGGGGCCTGGGCAGGAGTGGGATAGATCTGAGGGTCTCTGGCAGGAGGGGGTGGGACCAGGGCAAGTGCCAAGGCATGGTCCACTGGAGGAGCCTCACTGTTCCTCTCAAGCCATGGGGGGGGGGGCTTATGGAGCTAAGACTGAATGCGTTTCAGCATAGAGGGCCACCACAAAATTGTATATTGGCTCCCGGCTGGCCTGGGCCAGGGCCAAGGCAGAGGGGGCCATTCCTTCACTGTTTCCAGGATGGCTTCACGGGCCACATGAAACCACTTTGCGGGCCGCCTCCGGCCCCCGGGCCTTGTGTTTGACATGTCTGGAATAGAGTAACAAAAAATAAAAATACAGTACTATGATGATCCAGTAAATGTTTATGATGTTATGATTTATTACCTATTAATAAATCTGTTTATATGTACACTACGAACTTATGTACCACGAACAGGTTCCTTGTGTGTCTGATCACATTTGGCCAATAAAGAATTGTTCTATTCTGTTCCATTCTATTTTATATTTTGTATTTTATATTTTATATTTTATATTTATTATTATTTTATATTTTATATTCTACTCTATTCTATATATAATGTACAAAACTGAAGTCAGGCTTGGTATTAAATGAAATATCTGAACAAATGAGAAAATATAAGCTGGGACTGAAAGGAACATAGAATTCTCTTGATTTTACTGCCTGACTATAAATTGGTGAGAGATCAGGTCTTTGGGAGCAGAGAAATTAGGTTCTGGGGTCAAAGAAAATAGCAAAGTTGGAGCACCAGGATAGTCTCCACCTTGTGGGCTACAAAACTGATGAAAGGAGAGGTTTCCTGTGCAAGAGCCTCCCCTATTGAGCATTCCTGTGATATCCTGATGCTTGTAGAGGAAAGGGCAAAGGTTCCTGACGTTCCATCACATACCCCAAGTTACCTCTGGGGGATCCTTCTGACTCTGCCAGTTGAGAATTGAAACATGGCAGCCTCTCGCTTTGCCTGATCTTCTGGATAAATGCTCCAGGTAGAGTCCCTGTTCAACCTTGGCCATCCCAGCAAATCACTGAAGGCAAAGACAACCACTCTTCACTCCCAACCCCATTAATCTCATCTGCAAGTTGGAAGCTAAAAAGAATTTTACAGGAATGCTAGAAGAGATAGAGCAGTATGAAGTGTTTGAAGGACATGACCAGGGGTCTTCAACCTTAGCGATTGTAAGACTTTTGGATATCAGTTCCCAGAATTCTCCAGCCAGCATGGTGGAGCTGGAGGGTGATCAGCTGAGTGGCAGCTATGCAGGAGACTAAAGACTGGGGTAATTGACCAGATGAGCCAAGAATCAAACAACTGAGAAGTGGAACCAAGAGTGGGACAGCTAATCAATGGATCCTGAGGGCATGAAGCTGAGCGGCAGATGGAGGGGAGGTAGAGGGACCAACAGGTGGCGAAGACAACCTAAGTGAGTGGGATGAGAAGGCCAGAGGAGTACTGTACAGGCAGACAATTAACAAAGGATGGAACTAAGACAGTGGGAGAGCCCAAGTGCTTGCGGAAAAGGGTGCAGAGCAGGGACCTGGACACAAGCAGCCCCATCAGGGAAATTCTGGGAGTTGAAATCCACAAGTCTTATAGTTGCCAAAGTTGGAAAACTCTGGACCAGGGTTAAGTGTTGTTTAAAAAAACAATGAGTCTTCCAGTCCTGAAGGGGGTGTTTAGAAGCTGAACTCCATTCACATAAGAGGCCGTAGAGCAGGGGTTCTCAACCTTGGCAACTTTAAGACTTGTGGACTTCAACTCCCAGAATTCCTCAGCCAGCAAAGTTGGCTGAGGAATTCTGGGAATTGAAGTCCACAAGTCTTAAAGTTGCCAAGGTTGAGAACCCCTGCGTAGAGTTAAACATTTGCGGGTGAAGACACAAACTAGGCCTGCAGTTGAAGCTCTTGTTTTTCTCCCAATTTTGTGGGGGGAGGAGGGAAGGAGGAAATGTGGGTAGAGCTATGGGAGAGGCCAAAAGTGAATTTTAGAGGCAGCTCTGCTGCGGGTTTGTCTTGGAAAGTTAGTCCTGCAAGGTTGAAGGACTTGACACACAGCCTTTGCCAATCCATAGCACCTCTAAACAAACCTAGTTTGCTTTGTCCAGCCAAACTCAGTTCAGGTAAGGTTACCTGGGCTTGTAAGCATGGTTGCAAGAGAGGAAAAGACCTGTTGACCTGAATGGGAGGTACGAGCTCACGGGTTTTCAGGGTCTGCAATCAATTTCATCCTGTCTTCAAGTGCAACACACCCGTTTCTTTGTGACATTTTTGTGCCAATAAAGAGTCACTCCTATGGAATTTATTACAGGTTTAGAGGATTAAGATAGTATCATTCGTGGGTCATTTTTATTTACTCTGGCTGTAAATAGATTGTGGCTGTTATGGATTTCATGGCTTTTATGACAATAAAACAATAACAGTAATTTTAACTGTTGGGAGTGTTCATTTGTAATTTTGATGGTGCTTAAACTGTATCCTGGTCGGGGGAGGTGCATTTTAAACACGTTTTGTTTTTTTGTGCTGAGACCCATCTCTTTTTGCATGGATGTTTAATAGTAGTAATAATTGAATGTAATGATGATAATAATTCCTTGAAATGAAATAAGCTCTCTCACAGGCCCACATACAAATCACTGAATGGGGTTGCAGAAGTACAAACAATAAACTTCTCCATTGAGTCGAGTTTGAATCCTGGCGATATCATGGACACTTCCAAGGAGTTTTATTGGCACGATGATGGTGGCTTGCCATGGCCTTTATCTGGAAGATTTAAAGTTTCTTTTATTTATAGCTACCGGTCCAAGAATGCTAATCGAACATTTTCATCAGATAAATGGAGACAAAGAAGAGGAAATAAAAATAAACCACCAGGATAAATTCAAACATAGTGCTTTTGAATGTTGATCACAACTGAACAGAATTTAGTTCCTTTTATGTAGATTGGGATGAATTGATCTAATAAAAAATAATCCTATTTTCAGTCCATTCCGAACATTCAGGAACAGAATTATTAGCTCAGAGTCAATTAGTGTAAAAAAGGATGCTACAGCAAAATAGAGAGAAATGTTTTCAGTTATTTTATTAGCTAGTGTAAGGGCCCACCCCACTTTGCATCTTAAGAAGACAGAACTCTTGGAATAATTCTTCCAACAGGAATCCTTTATTAAGAGAAAATGGTTGCAGGCATGCTAGACAGGACTTGGGGTTCAAGCTCTCCCATTCAAGGTTTTAAGGGGTTCCCCAGTAGTCCCACCCAATCAACCCCCCTTCCAGTGATAGTTTCAAGTATCACAGTTCCACCCCCTTTCTTCTTTCTTCCGTCTGGATGGAGACTTCAGATAACTACCTGAAAGGCAAATACCCTTCTTTGTTATGATAAGGTCCTCTAGTGCTAACGCTTTGATGTTACAATAAACACACATTCAGCATTCAGCTCTTTGAAGTGTACTGAAGGAAGTGAGGGCCATAAAGCCCCTTTGTTCTCCCCCTTCTCTCCCTCTTATGGCAGAATCCAGAGAAGGCAGAATTGGGAGTTTCTATATTTGATAATTAAAGATGAAATATAATTGGATTCTGACAGCTAGAATAGGGACTTTAAAAAATTGGATAATGGGATATTGTTATACAGTACTTCCCTTTAACACACTAGATGATAAAATGTTACACCTTCCTAGATTGAAAGTTTTACTGAAACAAAAATATGATATTAAAGATTTAAGTGTGAATGTTCTGTAAATTAGGTTTTTAAAGTTTCCATGCCTTAAATCTGTTTAATCTGTTTAATAGTACTACAATAGCCTCAGTCATACTAGTGGTGTCTGTCTTCCTTCCTTCCTTCCTTCCTTCCTTCCTTCCTTCCTTCCTTCCTTCCTTCCTTCCTTCCTTCCTTCACCTGGTGCCAATTGAGGTTCTTTGCGAAGGGCATTCCATAAATGAGGTGCCACCACTGAAAAGGCAAGATAAAGGAAGGGGCTTGGGAGTGTCCATTTTTCCTTGGGCACCCTGTTGTGACTAAGGAATCTCCCCCAAAAGCCCTTGAACAAAGGGCCTATAAGATATTTTCCACCCACCAGATTTCCCCCCCACCCCATGGATCCACCTGTCCTAGGTTAACCTGAGACTTCTAATTACTCTTTCTAACCATCTTTTGCCTTAAGGAACCTATTGGTTTAACTTGAAGATTTCCATCCAGCAAATGATCCCATTCCACATTCTACATATTCCATATTCCGCAAGGTAGTCTTCTGCGTCTCCCTTCCATAGTGACCCAGGCTGCCTTCCTCCTGGTTGGCTCCACGCTCCGTAAAGGGCTCTAGACAGGAGCCGGATGCGGCATGCTAGGGGCTTCCGCCAGTCCGCCGCAGCTGTGCGTAACTTCCTGCACCTTTTTTGTTTTTTGTTTAATACAGAAAAAGTACTGTAGCTATTAATAACTGTATTAGAGCTTAGGTTAGTCAATATTTCTTATACAACAGTTCTAATACATTTTATACTGATTTATAGATCCTTCTCACACTGGGGTACGTCCCATGGGTGTTTGCTTCTCTCCAATTTGTTCTTTTTAAAATACTGTCGTTCTCCTTTAAGAAGCCACCGAAGCTGACCGCAACAGCAACAACCATTCATCTCGGTTTCCCATTTGAGCACAGCCCAAAGCCTGATTTGCCAGAAGAGGTGCGAAAGTAGCTGTCTCGTTCCTTCTCTCGGCGGAGGAGGCAGTGATGGCGGCTGCAGCGCCTTTGCCGGATTTCCTGGAAGAAGCCACCTGCTCCATCTGCCTGGAGTATTTCCAGGACCCCGTGCTCATCCCGGAGTGCGGCCACAACTTCTGCCGGGGCTGCCTGACCCGCAGTTGGGGGACGTCGGAATCGGAGGCTTCCTGCCCCCAGTGCAGACAGACCTTCGGGCCCCGCAACGTCCTTCCCAACAGGCAGCTGGCGCGGGTGCTGGAAGTGGCCAGGCGATGCAAAGATCCTTGGGGCGAGGACGGAGGGAGCTTCTGCACGAAGCACCGGGAGCCCCTCAAGCTCTTTTGTAAGGATCACGAGACCCTCATCTGCTTGGTCTGCGACCGATCCAAAGAGCACAGGGGCCACTTGGTGATCCCGGCGGAGGAAGCTTTCCAGGAATACCAGGTAGGAATCCGCCAGGAGGAATCCTTGCGGAGGGCCATCCAGTGTTAGCACTGGCAATCCTTGGATTCGTTTACTTGCTTCCTTCTGCTTTCTCCCACTCCCTTGCCTCTATGCCTGCAATTTTTTTGAAGACTGGTGTACAGGTAGTTCATTGAGGTGACTGTTTTCATACTTATGACCATTAGAGCATCCCTGTGGTCACTGATAAAAATTTGGAAGCTTGGCAACTGGCAGGTATTTATGATGGCTGCGGAGGTAGTCCTCAACTTAGAACAATTCATTTAGTGACTGTTCGAAGTTACAACGGCAATGAAAAAAGTGACTTACAACCATTTTTTACATTTACGATCGTTGCTGCATCCCTGTGTGTCTCAGGATCATGCAATCACCTTTTGGATAAGCAACGTCAGTGGGGAAGCCAGATTTGCTGTGACTAACTTAACAACTGTAGTGGTTCAATTAACAACTGTAGCAAGAAAGGTTGTAAAATGGGACAAAACCTCAGTTAAATCAGGGGTCCCCAAGCCCTGGGGTGTGTGGTCTGTTTGAAACCAGGCCATGAGAGAGGTGGTGCGCATACGCACAGATCTATTTGTGTGTGAGGAGGGTGTGCACCTGCCAAATGTAGCTGTTGTCTCTCACACACACACACACACACAAACACACACACACTGCTGAAAGGTTGAGACTGCTGACTTAATCCCTTGCTTACCGATGGCAATTGCCTGTAGGGAGAAATAGACACCCTTTGCCAGCTCACTTTCCACATTTGCTATAGAGCAAGATCTTCATAGAGTCCTCCAAAGTCTGGAGTGCAGACCCTGAAAAACACTCCTGGGGGGTCAGGCCAAAGCCACCTCAGCCCAAGCTTTTGTTTCTCCATGATGCTTCTCAGGTGACTGCAAGCAGGAGACTCAGGCAGCTCACTTTTCTGCCATTACAGGTAGTCCTCGACTTAGAACCATTCATTTAGTGACTGTTCGAAGTTACAACGGCAATGAAAAAAGTGACAACCATTTTTTACATTTACGATCGTTGCTGCATCCCTGTGGTCACATGATCAAAATTAGGATGCTTGGCAACTATCATGTATTTATGACGGTTGCATATATCTTCTAACTGGGTCTTCCCTCAGATGTAACTCTTTTCGAAAAAGAAACTCAAAACTTGTATTTTCTCTTCAGATCAGTATTGGGGATTGGCTGAAGGCTCAGAAGGAGGAGAAAGAAAAAATAGCTAAATACAAAACAGACACAGAGCAAAGAGTTCAGGAGATGCTTGTAAGTATTGATCCAACGATGAGGAGCTTCTGAGCTAATAATAGGCAGCCTGTTTGTAAGTACAAGTTTTGACTTAAATAAAATTCAAGTTAAAGACAGTGTTAGGGCACAGAACTTGTTCTTAACCTGGGACTGTATCTTTGACTGGGATGTCACCATTGGCTGAATAAATCACAGTGATGTTAAGGACACCTATGAGCCATGTTTTATACACTGGGTTTGGTTTGCTTAATAGATTAATGCAAACCATATTTCATCGTATTGAAAAAAATGTGAAATCTACTTTTTTGGAATCCCTGATTGTCAAGGAAATTTTTATGAAACAACATTTAAACTGAAACCTTTCCCCCTGTGTTTGTTGATGTCAAAATGTTTTTTTTTCTCCTAGGAAATTCTCCCATCTCATTTCAGGACTCTTCAGGGAATCAATTTAAATATTATGCTAATAAAAACAAATATAATTAAGTAAAAATAAAATAAAAATATGCCTTTTGCTCTTTCTGTCTTCTTGTTCTAGGACCACATCGAAAAAGAGAGAAAAAAAGCAGTGGCTGAATTCAGAGAACTACACCTCTGGTTAGAAGGACAGGAGAAGCTTCTGTTGGCTAGCATGGAAGAAACAGAGAAGGATGTTATGACAATGAAGGAGAAGCGTTTGGCCAAGTACATGGAGGAACTGTGCTCTCTTGACAGTCTCATCCAGGAAACAGAGGAGAAGCATCAGCAGCCAGCCAGCAAACTCTTACAGGTCAGGCAGGAAGTTGAGATCATAGACTCATAGGGCTGGAAGGGACCTTGGAGGTCTTCTAGTCCAATCCTCTGGCCAAGGCAGGAATCCTTATACCGTCCTGAAGAAATGGTTGTCCAATCTATTATTGGGAGCCTCCAGTGATGGAGCAGCCACAACTTTGGGAGGCAGGCCATTCCATTGATTAATGGTTCTCACTGTCAGGAAATTCTTCCTTATTTCTAGGTTGGATTTCCTTCTGATGAGCTTCCATCCCTTGCTTTTTGTCCCACCCTCAGGAGCTACAGAGAGTAAATTGTTGCCCTTTCCCCTATGACAGCCCTTCAAGTATTGGAAGATGGCTGTCCTGTCTCCCCTAAACCCTCTCTTTCTTAAGCTAAGCATACCGAGTTCCCTTAGCCATTCATTGTACTGTTTGGCTTCAGAGCCCTTATCATCTCTATTGCTCCTCTTTGCATTCTTTCTGGGGCCTCAGCATCTTTTTTGTATCCTGGTGTACCAATGATGAAGTGGAGTAGACTTCTTTAGCCCCACCACAGAATCCTCTTTTTGACTCTTTCCTTTTTTTTTGATAAATTTTATTGAAATTATAATAGTGAAAAGTACAAATGAAAATAAAGAAAGGGAAATGGAGAAGCATAAAAATGGGAAAGAAGTGTAGGAGAAAGGAGAAAGAAAACAAGCATTGACTTCAGCACAGTAAAATACAAAATAAAATTACAGCCTCAACTTTTTACATTTACATATTTAGAAATTATTAGCCATGTCTATAAAAACAAATTAATAAACAAAATCAAGCACCAGGAGTTCATTTTTTTTCTATCTTGAGCACAAAGTCCAGAAGCAGTTTCCAAGTAGAAACAAAGGTTGATATCTAATTAAAGCAGTAAATTTTTTTTCATTTTTTTCTAACTCCATCACTTTTTCCATTCATTCTTCTGTTGTGAAGATTGGTATATCTTTCCATTTCCGTGCAAGTAGGACTCTGGCTGCAATGTACAAAGTAACAAAGTTCAGAATCTTTTTTCAGCTCCTTATTTAATTTTTTTGAATATGGAAAGGAAACTTAGAAGGTATGAAGGCTACAGGTGGTCCTTGACCTAAGACCCCAATTGGGCCCCAAATTTCTGTTGCTAAGCAAATAGTTGTTAAGTGAATTTTGCCCCATTTTACAACCTTTCTTGCCACTGTTGTTAAGTGAATCGCTGCAGTTGCTAAGTAATACATTTGTTAAGTGAATCTAGCTTCTCCATTGACTTTGCTTGTCAGAAGATCCTAAAAGGTGATCACATGACCCCTGGGACACTGCAGTCATAAATTTGAATCAGTTGCCAAGCCGCTGAATTTTGATCATGTGACCATGGGGATGCTGCAACGGTCTTAAGTGTGAAAAATGGTCATAAGTCGGTTTTTTCATTGCCGTTGTAACTTTGAACGGTCACTAAATGAACTGTTGAAATTCAAGGATTACCTGTAATGGCTAATATAGGGATAGATAGTGTAATTCAGAAAAAGCAGGCAATGTGAAAAGCAAGAATTCAAAATTCTAGTCACTTGTCTATATTCGTCACAATTTTAAGAGTGCCTGCTTAGGGTTCCTATCACCTGTTAGGGGATGTGGTGGTGGGTGTTCTTTGTAGGGTCTCCTCTCCCCTTAATCTCCAGGGCAAGGAGAACCCCAACACTGAGGACCTTCTACAATGTTACAACCACTTGGATTTTCCAAAGTGCCTTGATTCTGGAAGCAAGGCGTTTCTGTATTCTATTGATGGACTATTTTATTTTTCAAATGTTCTTTTCTTTTTGCTATGATGTTTTATTATTTAGTTATATATGATAAATATTATAATCTGTATAATTGTGTTGGATTCAACCGAGGTATAATTTTTGTAAGACAAGGAAATAAAAATAATACCTCTCTAAAAGAGGCGAACGCTGGAGAAAAAAGAGCAACGGGGTTTCTTTTTAAGAAAAATTGAAGTAGTTTTTATATGACAGTTTGTATCTGGTTGTCCAGAGCAGGGCATTTCAACCAGTGGTATGGGTACCACCTGTGGTACATTGGTACCTGGCAGGTGGTACGCGACCATCCTAGAAAAGTGGTAGCGGGGGAGGGGAGTGAGCTGAACCGGTGGTAGCACCACACAAGCCTGAACAAAAGATGGCTGGAGCTGCGGGGCTGTCAGGGCTCAGCGGAAGCGCCAGGATCAGTGCCACTTTCCAGCTGATCGGCGCATCTTCGGGCTGTCAGGGCTCAGTGGAAGCGCCAGGATCAGCACCAGGCTCCAGCTAGAGCTCTGTGCTGATCCTGGTGCTTCTGCTGAGCCCTGAAGAAGCACCAATCATCTGGAAAGCAGCACTGATCCTGGTGCTTCTGCTGAGCCCAGAAGAAGCGCCGATCAGCTGAAATGTTGCAGCATCTCCAGGTGGGCAGGAGATTTACATTCAGATGCTTGGCAACTGATTCATATTTGTGACGGTCACAGTGTCCCAGGGTTATGTGAAGTGACCAAAACCTGCTGCAACCACCCAGCAGACAGGGGGAATAAAAACCAAACACCCCCACACACCACCCCGCTGCCAATCCTCAACAGAAATGCTCACAACAATGAAAACCTTGGACAGGAGGAAGAGCGCCGCCAGGTGGGCAGGCAGGTGTCTTGCTCATCTGTGGCTTGGGGGGTACTTTTTTCAGTGCCATTGTAACTTCGAAGAGTCACTAAGCGAACTGTTGTAAGTCGAGGACTACCTGTACTTTATCACTTTTTTCCTTTGGGGGGGGGGGATCATCAGGTTTTTGACAACTTGCTAGGTGACGGGTGGTACTCAGATATTGCCATATCCTAAAAGTGGTACAATGGGTGAAAAGGTTGAAAAGCCCTGGTCCAGAGGTTTCACGTATTTCCTTTATAAATTTAAGAATTTAACTTTCTGCATAGGGAATGGCTCCTTTCAGTGCTTTGTCTCTCTCTTTTTTTTTTAGGACATTGGAAGCATCTTGGAGAAGTAAGTGAATCCACCCTCCTCTTTACAGTCTCAGACATCAGCACCTCCTCCAGCAGTTTTCCTGTTTTGGAAAGTTCTGTTTGTATTTTGCAGTAATTTCATTTAAAGATAACATACTGTATTTCATGGCTTTTTAGACATTTTCTCAGACACCCGCAGCACAATATAATTAACAATATTTGATATGATCAATTATTATGGTTGATTGCACAGTCAGCCAGATGTTTAGATTGAATTTGGCATTTTTATCCACCTATTGAGTCTTTCCCAAGAAGAGACAGATGTCTGATGTTTTTAAAGGTATCATTGTAGGATGTAAGCTGTTCCAAGTAGTGCAACTATCATACATACATGCCGGTTGCCAAGCACCCAAATTGTGGTTACAGAGACACTGATAGATGTTAAGTATAAAAATGGTTTTAAGTCATAACTGGTTGTTAATAAACAGTCATAAAGTGAAGGTTACTTGTAACTGCATTCGTCTCTATTAAATTTCATTGCATTACCTTTAATCCATCAAGATCAGTTTGAATGTTTGAATGTTACATCCATCTTCTAGATTGCTTACCTATCTCACCCACATTAGTCATTAGTTACTTGGTAAGATACAGTCCGTTTTTTTGGCCAAGAGATTCACAAGAATTTTCAAGAATGTTCTTTTGTCTTGCCAGATATCGGGCAAAGAAAACATACGAGAATCAAGTGGATTTACTTCCAGAGCCTAAGTGGATAATCTTGGGTTACAGTGATATCACTGAGCTTCTGAAAAATGCCATGGAAAAATTGAGAGGTAAAAAACAGCCACTGGGGTTGTACGCTGGATGACATTTTGATCCGAGAGCATCCAAAAGAGATTCTGGGTCAGTGTCAGGGGGATCAAAGAGGGATCGATGTCAGGATCAGTGGAAGAGACACCTTCATTTCTCTGGAGAAAGGCCTTGATTTCTCCCCTTAAAGATGTGCTAGCTAAAAACGGGAACCACTAGCTAGATAGTGGGCTATTTACAGGTGGTCCTTGACTTACAGCAGTTCATTTAGTGACTGTTGAAAGTTACAAAGGCAATGAAAAAGTGACACGACCATTTTTCACACTTTATGACTGTTGCAGCAACTCCAAGGTCATGTGATCAAAATTCAGCCACCTGACCACTGGTTCATATTTAGAGGTGTTTGACCTAAAAATGGGAACCATTAGTCATAGTTGACCAATTACAGGTAGTCCTTGACTTACAACAGTTCATTTAGTGACTGTTCAATGTTAGAAAAAAGTGACATGACCATTTTTCACACTTATGACCATTGTAGAATCTTCACAGTCATGTGATTTACATTCGGATGCTTGACAACTGACTCATATTTATGACGGTTGCAGTGTCCCATGGTCATGGGATCATCTTCTGACAAGCAAAGTCAATGGGGAAGCCAGATTAACTTAACCATGTTATTAGTTTAACAAATGCAGTGATTCACTTAACAAATGTGGCAAGAAAAGCCGTAAAATGGGGCAAAACTCACTTAACAAATTTTTCACTTAGCAACATAAGTTCTGGGCTCAATTGTGGTCGTACATCGAGGGCTACTTATATTCTTTATTTCCCAGATCCATATGCACTGACCACTGGGGAAGCTGAATAAGCTTCCACTAAATATAATGGAATATATAGAGGTAGTCCTTGACTTACAACCACAGTTGAGCCAAAAATTTCATTTGCTAAGCAAAGAGGTTGTTAAGTGAGTCATGCCCCTTTTAATGACCTTTTTTGCCATGGTTATTAAGCTAATCTGGCTTCCTCCATTGTCAGAAGCTCCCTAGGAAGGTTGCAAGATCAGTTTGAATGTTACGACAGTCACAGAGCCCTGGGATGCTGCAAGCCTTGTAAATACACGCTGGTTGCCAAGTGCCCAAATTTTGATCTGTAGTGGTCATAAGTCTGAGAACCAGTCATAGGTCACTTTCTTGAGTGCCGCTGTAACTTTGAACAGTCACTAAGTGAGTGGTTGTAAGTTGAGGACTACCTACTGTATATATGGAATATATAGTAGAATATATTTATATCTGGTAGAATATATACAGCCACCAATGACATCCTGGTTTGTAGCTTTCCTTATTCCTTATTTCCTGATTTGAGTCCAGGGAAAGCAAACCAGGGTATCTCTGGGGAGGCCCTTCTGTTGCTCCATTTCCAGTGATCAGATGCTGAATCCCTCCCTTTTCTTCCCCAGATACTCTGGAAAGTGGACTGCAATACAGGAAGGTAAATATGAGTTATAAGAATCTTATATTTCTTGCTATTTTAAGCTCTGATGCTAGTAGCTTTAAGAGAAACAAAATAGAGTAACAAAAAAGAAAAGTATAGGATTAGATACCTTAAAGACTACGATGATCCAGTATACTTTAATGATTTTATGATTTATGACCTGTTACTTGCTGTTTATATGTTCACTGTGAGCTTATGCACCAGAGACAAATTCGTTGTGTGTCTGATCACGCTTGGCCAATAAAGAATTGAATTCTATTCTATTCTATTCTATTCTATTCTATTCTATTCTATAGAATAGAATAGAATAGAATAGAATAGAATAGAATAGAATAGAATAGAATAGAATAGAATAGAATAGAATAGAATAGAATTCAATTCTTTATTGGCCAAGTGTGATCGGACACACAACAAATTTGTCTATAGAATAGAATAGAATAGAATAGAATAGAATAGAATAGAATAGAACATAAACTTTCTACCAAGCTATAGAATAGAATAGGAATAGAATAGAATAGATTAGAATAGAATAGAATAGAATAGAATAGAATAGAATAGAACATAAACTTTCTACCAAGCTAATAACATCCTGTTGATTTTACTGCCTGCCTATAAATTGGTGAGACACCAGATCTTTGGGAGCAGAGGAATTAGGACTTTTGGGTGAAAGCAAAGTTGGAGCACTAGGCTCATCAAAGTTATGAAAGCAGAGGTTTCCTGAGCAAGATCCTCCCCTATTGTACATTCCTGTGATATTCTGATGCTCGTGGAGAAAAGGGCAGATCTTCCTCACATTCCATTATGTGTCCCAAGTTACCTCTGGGGGATCCTTCTGACTCTGCCAGTTCACAATTGAAACATGGCAGCCTCTTGCTCTGCCTGATCTTCTGTATTAAAGCTCCAGGCAGAGTCCCTGTTCACACCTTGGCCCTCCCAAGAACTCACTGAAGGCAAAGCCAAACACTCTTCACTCCAAACCCCATTACTCTCACCTTCAAGAGGAAAGCTAAAGAAAATTGTGCAGGAATGTTAGAAGGGGGTGAAGCACTATGAAGGGTTGGAAGGACTACTAGGCAATGTGGAGGTGTTGTTTCAAAAAACAGTGAATCTTCCAGTCCTGGAGGGGGTGTTGGAAGCTGAACTCCTTTCAGAGTGGAGGCCTCTGGGGGTGAAGACACAAACCAGGCCTGCAGCTGAAGCTCTTGTTCTTCTTCCTTCCTTTCCTTCCCCCCCTACAGTGAATGTAAGTCTGAATCCACAGACAGCCGATCCTGGCGTCCTTGTCATCTCCAAGGATAGGAAAAGCGTCAAAAGAGTTGAGCCAGAGAGACCAATCTATGCTGACCCAAACCGCAAGAGATTTGTACTTAATCCTTATGTCCTTGGCTGTCGGAGATTGTCAACAGGGCGACATTTCTGGGAAGTTACTGTAGGAGATACAGCAGGATGGGGTTGCCAAGAAACCGGTGAACGAAACATATGTTGATATGCAGACCAGCTACTGGGAGTTTAGGAAATGGGGAGAGAAATACATGGCTAGCTCTCCATCAGTGTACTCTGAATTTGTCCTGACTGAGAAGCCCACGAAGACCCACATCTCTCTCAAATGTGAAGTGAGACAAGTGAGCTTTTTTGATGCCAGGACCGCAGCTCTGCTCCATACATTCTCGGACAGTTCCTTGGTTGGAGAGACCCTTCTGCCCTCTTTCTATTTGGATGAAGGCGCCTCCCTGACCCTCCCCTAAAAGAGGGGACCTCCATAGGCAAAACTTTGGAAAATCCCTATTTGCTGATCAGTGATCTCTGAAAGGTTCCTCAGCTTTTTGCTACTACACCTTCCTTTAGTGCAGTGTTTCTCAACCTTGACAATTTTAAGGCATGTGGAATTCTGGGAGTTGAAGTCCACATGCCTTAAAATTGTCAAGGTTGAGAAACACTGCTTTAGTATTTTATGCCACACTGAGTTGCTTGCAGTTGTGTGGCCTCTTCCAGCAACCCTACACATCACTCTCTTTAGCTTCCACCTTGCAGATGACAGTAATGGGGTTGGGAGGGAAGAGTGGTTGGCTTTGCCTTCAGTGAGTTCCTGGGAGGGCCAAGGTGGGAACAGGGACTCTACCTGGAGGAAAATGTGTTGGATATGTTTGCCACCTTGAGTTATTTGTAAAAATAATAAAGGTGAGATACACAGATAAATAAATTAATATAAGGGGAGTGAAACTAAACTTTAATATGGTGACTTTGAATGCTAATAGCAGCTCTTTGGAACAAGGAGAGAAGCAACCTAGAACTAAGGAAAAACTTCCTGACAGAACAATTAACCAGTGGAACAACCTGCCTCCAGAAGCGGTGAATGCTCCAACACTGGAAGTTTTTAAGAAGAGACTGGACAGACATTTGTCCGAAATGGTATAGGGTTTCCTGCCTGAGTAGGGGGTTGGACTAGATGACCTCCAAGGTCCTTTCCAACTTTATTATTATTATTATTACTAAATAATAATAATAATTATTATTATTACCTCAAAGCATCTAAACAAGGGGTGTCAAACTGCCGGGATGCATCATAGCGAAACCACGCCCACCCCATTGCCAGCAATGGCAAAAAAAGTTGCTACACGTCACGTGACGTTGTGAGTTTGACACCCCTGATCTAAACAATTGACTGACAAGCTGATGGCAAAGAAGCATGTGAAGAATCCAAATGAACACACCTCATGCCTCAGCTTAAAACAACGATCCCCAAATTTCTGTTGATGAGCGAGACAGTTGTTAAGCGAGCTTTGCCCCATTTTACGATCTTTCTTGTCACAGTTGTTAAGTGAACCATTGCAGTTGTTAAGTTAATTACACAGCGGTTAAGTGAATCCGGCTTCCCCATTGACTTTGCTTATGAGAAGGTCACAAAAGGTGATCACATGACCCCGGAATACTGCAAACGTCATAACTATGAGCCAATTGCCAAGCAACTTAATTTTGATTACGTAATCAGGGGGTGCTGCAATGGTTGTAAATGTATAAATCTGTCATAAAACACTTTTTAATGTCTATATACAGTACATTAAAAATGAGAAATGTTAAAAATGCTTATTTATTTGACTTCCACAGACCCCAAACTGAGAGCCACCAATATAGCCCAACAGAATCTTACAGCAAGGGTGTCCCAAAGCAGATCAACAAAGTCAAGATGGCAGCCAGTCCCCGCCTTCTACCCATATGTAAATAAGGGGTGGGGCTTCCATCCCTGAGGCCTTTGTTGACTCCCTCTAGGGTTATTCCTGCTCTGCAGCATCTCCCTGCTTCTGTGCCGCAGGGCCTTTGATAGAGGGGTCTGTGAGAATCCATGGGAAGATGGGATTGGCTTGCAATGGGAAAGCCCCTCCCCTTTTTGTAGGGGGAGGAGGGAAGGAGGAAATGTGGGTGGGGCTATTAGGAAGGAGAGGTCAAATGTGAATTTTAGAGGCAGCTATTGGGAAGTTACACCTGCAAGGTTGAAGGACTTGACACCAATCGGAAGCAGAGGAAGAAGCAGAGGAGGATGCGGGTGAAGAAGAGCTAGTGGTGCCTGAGGCGGTGATGGCGGTTTCTCCCCCTGCAGCAGAGGTACGACAGGTGGCCCGCCCGAAAGACCCAGAGGGGCCATATCCCAACCAACAGAAGTGAAGCCAATTCTGTTGGGGGGTGAAATTCAATGGGAATCCCAAGAGATTGGTGTTCTTCCTAGCCCCGGTATTGGCTTACATGCAAATATATGGGAGAATTGAATGAGCTTCCTAAATTCATAGACAAGAATTTAGCCCGGGGTTTCATCCAATCTGCAAAACCCCAGGTGGCAGCCGCCATGCTATTCAGAGAAAAAAAGGATGGGTCCCTTCGTCTCTGCGTAAATTATAGGAGCCTCAATGTTGTATGCATGGAAAACTTGTACTCCCGTATGAAGGACATGTTAGCGCATTTGTCTAAACGAAAATTTTTCTCTTAAGACTGAGAATAATGCAAGCTAGACGTGATTCAAAGATTGCTAGGACAAACCCTACATCTTCTAAAAAGGCGATTTTGGGAAGCCTTCTTTGAAAAAGGATATTGAAAGCTATGTAGCGAGCTGACCCACATGTGCTGCAGCTAAGCGGAGGCAAGGGAAGACGCCAGGACTTCTACAGCGGGTGGCGAGCCCTTCAGCTCCCTGGAGAGAGATCTCTATGGACTTTATTGTGGAGTTTCCTGAAAGTGCTGGAAATACAGCTATTTGGGTTGTCACAGACTTGTTTTCTCGACAAGCCCATTTCATATCATGCCCAAAGATCCCGACAGCTAAAATGTTTGGCTAAACTATTTGTGCAACACATCTACTGATTCCATGGGGCATTCCATGACACCCGGCCTTTGCCAATCCATAGCACCTCAAAACAAACTTAGTTGGCTTTGCCCAGCCAAACTCAGTTCAGGTAAGGTTACCCGGGCTTGTAAACATGGTTGCAAGAGAGGAAAAGACCTATTGACCTGAATGGGAGGTACGAGCTCAGGGGTTTTCAGGGCCTGCAATCAATTTCATCCTGTCTTCAAGTGTAATCCACCCATTTCTGTGTGACATTTTTGTGGCAGTAAAGGGCCACAGCTCTGGAAATTATTATGGGCATCAGGTTTAGAGGATTAGGACGCTATCGTTCGTGGGTTATTTTTATTTACTCTGGCTGTAAATGATGATTTCATGGCTTTTATGGCAGTAAAACAAAGCAGTAATTTTAACTGTTGGGAGTTTTCATTTGTAATTTTGATGGTGCTTAAACTCATGCCCTTGTCACCTCAAGACTAGATTACTGTAACGCGCTCTACATGGGGCTACCCTTGGAAGAGCGTTCAGAGGCTGCAGTTGGTTCAGAATGCAGCCGCGAGAGCGATTGTGGGCGCGCCAAGGTACGCCCACGTGTCACCTATCCTCCGCGAGCTGCCCTGGCTTCCTGTGGGTCTCCGGACGCAATTCAAGGTGTTGGTTTTCACCTTTAAAGCCCTTCATGGCATAGGACCAGGTTACTTACAGGACCGCATACTGCCGCACAGTTCCCAGAGACCGGTGAGGTCCCACAGATTGGGCCTCCTTCAGGTCCCGTCGGCCAGACAATGTCAGCTGGCGGGCCCTCGGGGAAGGGCCTTTTCTGTGGTGGCTCCGACCTGGTGGAATCAACTTCCTCCCGAGATTCGAACTACTGCCACCCTGCCGGCCTTTAAGAAAGCAATTAAAACTCTCCTGTTCCAGCAGGCCTGGGGCTGATGTCCCGGAGGGGGGGGGCGGGATATGATCGGACACGCTGTATGAATGTATTTATTTTATTGTTTTATTGTCATATTATTGTTTTAAATTTTGTACGCTGCCCTGAATCCCTTAGGATTGGGTGGCATATAAATTTTAGAAATAAAATAAATAAATAAATAAACTACCCTGGTTGGGGGAGGTGCGTTTTAAACACGTTTTGTTTCTCTATACTGAGACCCACCTCTTTTTGCATGGATGTTTTTAATAGTAATGAAGGAAATAAAAGTTATTCTTTTAATAATTGTAGAAATGTAATGCCATTATATGAAACTGTCTCTTTAGTACAAATGTAACACTGTAATGCAAATGTAACAATGTAATGCCAATATATGAAACAGGAATGTTTACTGTTTCCTGCCCATGTAAAAGTGACTACAAATGGTAATCAGCAAAGATAATTAATTATGACCAAATGTTTACTATTTCCTGCCTAAAAATCCTCCCGACACAGGAACTGAGTAGAAATCCTACTATTGAAGAGGGGGATTTTGACCCAAGGTGAGAATTACAAATAAACAAGATAACAGCAGATGTACGGAAGAGGTCAGGTTAACAAACTTCAGAGTACATCTATAAAGATGAAAGAGCTGCTTAGATGTGATATGCATTTTAGGGGTATAGAATGCAGATCTTGAAACCAGGCCAGTGGGCTCCTGGAATCCAATCCATAGGGAAGGATCCAGGGGGCCGCGTTTGCAAACGCTCCTCTCTTCTATTCTTTCTCTTTTCTCTTTTATTCTGTTTATGTTATTCTCCAATAAACCTTTGTTTTGTTAACCAGACTTGTCTTGTATTGTGAGTATCAAAATTTGGAGTTTTTACATCTCACAGTAATAAGCTAATCTAATGATGATAATAATTCCTTGAAATGAAAGCTCTGTCAGAGGCCCACCTACAAATCATTGAATGGGGTTGCAGAAGTACAAAAAAAAAAAGAAACATCTCCATTGAGTCGAGTTCGAATCCTGGTGATATCATGGTTCAAGCATTTTTCTTGACAGCATGATGGTGGTTTGTCGTCTCCAGTTCGGGTCTGAGCCTGGTGCTGAGGCCAAGGAAGAACACCAGACAGAAGGTGCAGTTTTTTCTTTTCTCTTATTGAAGCGCTCCAAGAAAAGGGATCCTGGCCAAGATGCCAAGGAACCTCCAACCACAGAGTTAAGAAAGCTTTATACATTTTCACTAAGGAGAAGGTGGGATAAGGCAGGATATATAAGAAACACCATTTAATAAACATTTTAATAATGATCTAACAATTATTCTATTGGTCTCTAGCCGTCCCTATTCCCAAGCCTTGGCTAATGAATGCTTCAGGAGTTATCTAACACACATCCTATTTGCTCCAGGCCATCTCTGTTCCTAACTTTTAGCTGAGCTTGCAAGATGCCTAAGTCTTTGTTACTATTATCAGCTTTCTAACCACCCAGAATTGTTACAAGCTTTACAGGTGCATATTCCCTGTGAATAAGCATTCTTTGTTCTTACCAGACAAGGTCCCCAATTATAGACTTTCTGGATCTCCACCTTCAGTCTGGAATGATGGAGTCAAGTTCTGGACCGAAACACTGGTGTAGATGAATAGTAGCACTTGAAAAACTTTGGTCTACACTTTCACATAGACCCAGGCTGGTCTCATCCAACAGGTGCAGCTTCCTGCAAATATTTAGCAAGAAAAGAAAAAATCACAGCAGACAACTGGTCCACACAATTGTTGCACGACCATAGCTGTGACATGTGGGCCAGAATCAGGCGATATACTGTGGCAGCCCAAACCTAGGAATAATTTCTTACTGTAGGACTTTTATTTCGAGGTCTTTATTAGTCCTGCAAGCAAAAGCCTCAGGCCATCCTGTGAACGTACATAGTAGTATCAAAACTTACTTAAAATCTTGTTTCCCAGGTAAGTCAATGAAATCTCTTTCCCAGATGGCCTCTGGGTAGTTGCCTTTAGGTTGGACTCCTAAGGGTAGGTGTCTGGCCACTTTTGGATTATTTCTGGCACAGATCAGGCAAGTTGCTACAGTTTGGGAGGCAACAGAATAGAGACCTTTGCTTACTGCATAGTATCTCACAAAGTCTACCAGGTATTCTCCCCCCCCCCAAATATGTGCTAGCATGTATTTGGGATAAAAAGAATCCTTAGGGGTGTATTTGGTAGAATATGTTTGCCTTCTACTCTCCACCATCCTTCATTCCGCTTTCTGCCTCCAACTGACATGGCCCATGTCCTGTCCTTGGGTGTATAAGAGGGTGGGGAAGTAGGTGTGGATGGAGAAATTGGAATTAGGGAGGCTGTGAATTCTAAGGATCGTAGGGCAGCTTCCTTAGCAGTACTATCTGCAGCCCGATTCCCATTTGCATAAAGGGTGCCTTCCTTAGAATGCCCCTTGTCATGTATGACTGCTACTTGTTTTGGCTGCCAAACTGGCTCCAATAATTCTAAAATTTGTGAGCCATACTTAATCGTTCACCCTTTTGCATTCAATAATCCCCTTTGCTTTCATAAGGCTCCATGGACGTGCAAGATACTCCAAAGGCATATTTGCTATCTGTGTAAATATTTACTGTTTCTCCCACAATCAGCTGTAAGGCTCTAGTTCAGCGTTTCTCAACATTTGTGTGATGGCGACCCCCGTCACACAAACGCTATGCACATGCGCGGCGCGGTGCCCCCCGTGTGCAGCGCGCATGCGCGGTGGCACCCCTGGATGCACGGCGGCGCCCCTGGATGCACGGCGGCGCCCCCGGAGGTGCGCCAGTGCCCCCATGCAGGCGCGCATGCGTGGCGCCGCCCCCAGAGGGGGCAAAATGGCGGATCGCCGCCTTTGGCGACCCCCGAAAAGTGGTCGATCGACCCCAAATGGGGTCGCGACCCATAGGTTGAGAACCGCTGCTCTAGTTAAAGCAGAGGTCCCCAACCGTTTGGGTGTGGAAAATACCTGAAAGGAACAAGTAAGTTTAAAAATAAAATATATTTTAGTATTATCATGTAATCACTATTAGTTATTTTATAATCATTATTTTATACTCAATTGCCTGAGTAGATGTTTTATGTACATTGGGAAATTACAAGTCTCAAATGAGGGGAGAGGGAAGCTGGAGTTACTAAAGCAGTGGTTCTCAACCTGTGGGTCGGGACCCCATTTGGGGTCGAACAATCATTTCACGGGGGTTGCCAAACAACGCAGTCCGCCATTTTTTCCCCCTTTTCCTTAGCTGTGCTACTCCCTTTTATTCTATTGGCTTTTGAAAGCCAATAGAATAGACTCTCTTGAATAGAGTTTAATTCTATAGAATAGACTCTCTTGAATAGAGTTTAATTCTATTGGCTTTCAAAAGCCAGTAGGAATTGTCCAGGCTGTCTCTGCCCTGCTGAGCCCGCCAAAAGTCCCATTCTGCAAATGGTGCTGCACCAGTTGAGTAGTCCCTCGACTTACGACCATTGAGTAGTCTCGACTTACGACTGGTTGGGGGTCGCAGTATTTATATATTATTAGAGATATATATATATATATATATATATATATATATATATATATATATATATATATATATATATATATATATATATATATATTTACAATTTTACAATAAAATCCCTCACCCACTCCCTCCCAGCCCCCCAAACCCTCCCCCCTTCTTCCCAGAGTAGAATTAAAAAAAAAACATTTAAACTTAAATACAATTCAAACAAATATAACTACATTCAAAAAACAAATTTTTGAATACTTTAACTCCAATATATATAAAAAAAGAAGAAAAAAAAGAAAAAAAAGACAAAACAAGTCTACATTTCTAATCATTATCTTAAACTTTAAATATACATTATTCAAAAGCTAAATAATATTTTCTAATATCATACTTATACTGTATAAAGTTTATCCATTTTTTCCACACCAATAAATATTTCTCTTGCATTTGATCTTTCAAATAAGCTGAAATTTTTGCCATTTCAGATAAATAAGAAACTTTAAAAAACCATTCCTCCAAAGTCGGCAAAAATTCCTTCTTCCAATATTGTCCTATCAACAACCTTGCCGCTGTAATTAAGTTTAACATTAAAATAATTTCTTTATCATCACAATCAGATACAATACCTAACAAAAACAATTGTGGAGTAAATTTTATCCTTCTATTAAAAATTCTTTGAATATTCCACCATATCTTGATCCAAAAAACTTTTATACTTTTACATGACCACCAAATATGATAATACGTTGCATCCAGACAGCCACATCTCCAACATTTAGGTTGCAAATTTGAGTACATACGAGACATCTTTTGTGAATCAAGGTGCCATCTATAAAACATTTTATAAAAATTTTCCCGTAAGTTTTGAGCTTGCGTGAATTTAACATTCCTCACCCAAATTGTCTGGGGTCGCGGTATTAAAAAGGTTGAGAACCACTGTACTAAGGGATCTGGTATGAGTCATCATCTAGGAATTGTTTTTCTGATAGGCATGTGGACACATCTTATCTCCAAGATTGATAGGCATGTAGACACATCTTACCTCCAAGATTGATAGGCATGTACATATATGGTCTTAATAAACAGGAGAGGAGATGAGGGATCTTATTAGTATAATGTAAGCAAACAGGGGTGGAGATAATGTATTCTTGTTAGGCGCTTCTGATAGATTTTAACCTCCAAAGCCTAAGCCAATGGGGCCATGGGGGAGGGAATGGGGCGTCGTGATAGGATGTATAATAATGTGTGATTCTGAAACATGAGTGTGGTTCAGTGTTTGGCTATGTTGCACGACTGGCCTTCCTGAATCCACCAGGCTTTGCAAACCTTATTTTTTAGACTTTATTGTTAAGGTTAATAAACTCCTTTTCTATTTGCAACTTAAACTGAGTGAATTTTAATTTGTACCTTTTATTTTGTGTCCAACAGGTTCCATGGATGTTTCTTTCTCCCCAGGTTTTTTTCTGCATATTTCCATTTAGCATTATTGCTAGGATCAATAATTGATCGGGGGCTCAGTCCCAAGAATATTTGTTTCTCTCCAATTTGTTCTTTTTAAAACACTCTTTTTCCTTTAAGAAGCCAGCGAAGCTGACCGCAATCGCAGCCATAATTTATCTCGGTTTCCTTTGTGGGCAGAGCCCAAAGGCGGTCACCTGATTTTCAAGAAAAGGCGCGAAACTAACTTTCTCTTTCCTTATCCCAGCGGAGGAGAGGGCGATGGCAGCCGCAGCGTCCATGCAGGATTTGCTGGAAGAAGCCACTTGCTCCATCTGCCTGGAGTATTTCCAGGACCCCGTGCTCATCCCGGAGTGCGGCCACAACTTCTGCCGGGGCTGCCTGACCCGCAGTTGGGGGACGTCGGAATCGGAGGCTTCCTGCCCCCAGTGCAGACAGACCTTCGGGCCCCGCAACGTCCTCCCCAACAGGCAGCTGGCGCGGCTGGTGGAAATGGCCAGGCGATGCAAAGATCCTTGGGGCGAGGACGGAGGGAGCGTCTGCACGAAGCACCGGGAGCCCCTCAAGCTCTTTTGTAAGCACCACGAGACCCTCATCTGCGTGGTCTGCGACCGATCCAAAGAACACAGGGGCCACTGGGTGATCCCAGCGGAGGAGGCTTTCGAGAAGTACCAGGTAGGAATCCGCCAGGGGGAATCCCTGCCGAGGGCCATCCAGTACCCTTGGCCTTCCAGGCAATCTTTACTTGTTTCCTCTGTTGTCCGCAAACCGGGTTTAGCCTGGCGCAGATGCCTGTCAGAACCAGACAGGAGTTCAAGGAACTTTTATTGAAGTATTTCAGCAAAAGGCTCTAAGAAGCTAAAGGAGCCAAGACCCCCGAACCATATACAAATACAAATTTGATACAGTTAAGATTAAGGAAGTTGAGAGAGTATGGCTTTTATTGATTTTTTAATATAATTCAATAGTGCTTATTCAACAAACGTGTTGTCTGGGTTTATCATTCACTAATACTGCAGGCCACTTTAGCTGACTGTGTTTAGCAGGTCAGCGGTTCAAATCTCACCGGCTCAAGGTTGACTCAGCCTTCCATCCTTCCGAGGTAGGTAAAATTAGGACCCAGATTGTTGGGGGCAATGTAAATATATATATATATATGTATGTATGTATGTATGTGTGTATGTGTATGTGTATATATACACACACACACACACACACACACACACACACACACACATACATTGCTTACTGGTGTACACCGCTTAGAGAGTGCTTGCACTTAAAAGCGGTATATAAGTCTCATAAATAAATAAATAAATAAATAAAAATTACATTCCTAATTGCTTGTTCGTTTTTCCGGCCATTGATAAAATAAGTCCCAAGTTTGAAAATATTCTTTTTCTTTTTCTTTCAATCTCAAAGTAAGCCTGTCCATCTCTGCACAGTCTAGTATTTTTTTAATTATTTCTTATTTCGATGGTATTTCTTCATTTTTCTAATGTTGTGCAAATATAAGTCTTGCTGCTGTTATCACATATAAAATTAGATATATACTTCATTTTTCAAGCTTTTCTGGCATTGTACCTAATTTAAAAAGTTCAGGTTTATAATCTACATGTTTTCCCAGCATCTTTTCTGGCCAAGTATGTATTTTTGTCCAATATTTCTTTGCTTTAATACAGGGGTGTCAAAATGTTGTGCGACGTTATGTGACGTTGCAAGTTTGACACGTCTGCTTTAACACATGTCCACCATATATGATAATAACTACTTGGTTTTTTATTACATTTCCAACATTTATCTGACATATTTTTAAACATTTTTGCTAATCTTGCTGATGGCAAGTGCCATGTATAAAACATTTTATATAGGTTTTTTTTTTATAAGAGGTTGACACTGTCAGTTTGTAATTTCTTTCCCACAGGCTTGTAAGACGCTAAGAAACAGTCACAGGCATGTCTTGAGCAGAAGCTGATGCTGCTGACAACCTCTGTCATGTTTATTGCTTTTATATTCCTTTTACATACACAAGCTTTCTTAATCATTAGATGCTGACAACAGTTTATTCATTGGAAAATTCTTTCATCTAACCAACTATTTTCTAGTTAATATTATATGATCAACAACTAGATAAAGAACAAAGACAGGAAGATAGAAGAAAGAACTAAGCCTGAGGCATTAAGTCAAGGGGGTGTTCTGTGACCTTCTGGCTGCTTCACTGGGGCAAAGGGTATAGGAGCAAAAGGGTATAGAATTATGAGATTTGTGGGGGTGAAAAGCACGGCAGTATGCTGCACGCACATGTTACCCCTACACAGGCTTTGCCATTTCTCTAAATCTATATTATATCCAAAACTTTTTACCCATATTATCATTGTTTCTTTTACTTGTTCATTTTCTATTTTCAAATTTAGAGAACATTATACATTTTCTTAATTAGTTTTTCATCAGAAGTTAATAGTATCTGATCAAACAAAGTCTGCTCTTTATAGAATCCATACAATTTAATATCTTTATCATATCTCACTTGTATCTGTAAATATGACCACTAATGATAAATCAGTACCCTGATTTTCCATCTCTTGTCTAGATTTTAAGTTCCCTTCAGAGTGTAGAATATCTTTATATGTCCATATTTTCTCAAAGCTAACTAGATTTGGGTGTACAAATGCTTCCATTGTTGACAGCCATCCTGGGATTTTCAAATATATTTTGCTTTTTATTTTCCCATGTTAGTAATAATGCATTTCTAATATAGTGGTTTTGAAAATGTTTATGAATTTTATTTTCCCCATACCATAAAAAAGCATGCCAAAGATGTAAGTCATGTCCCTCTAAGTACAACAATCTTTTGTGTCTGAGGGTTATCCATTCTTTTACCCATGTTAACACTGATGCTTGATAATATAAAACCCAGTCTGGCAAACCAAAACCTCCATTTCCCCTTAGTTTCTTGTAACATTTTCAATTTAATTCTAGCTTTCTTTCCTTGCCAGATAAATTTTAAAATTAAGGAGTTCAGGTCTTCAAAAAAAAATTTCTCTATAGTTTTATAGGTATAGGTATTGTTTGAAGTAAAAGGAGTATTTTTGGTAATACATTCATTTTCACCATAGCAATTCTCCCTAACATCTACAATTGCAGATTTTTCAATTTTTCCAAATCAAGTTTTATTTGGTTTAATGATATATAGATTAAGGAAGTTAATCACTCATTGGTTCCTTGACATGTGTTTCTTTTGATTTCTTGTCCTGCCCTACTTTACCCTCCTTCATACATTGCATATTTATGCTAATAAGCTTTCCTATCAAAAGGGTTGTATGTTTTATTATAATAAGCCAGAACAGTGGTGGCAAACCTATGGCACGGGTGCCAGAGGCGGCAGTCAGAGCCGCCACCGTGTGCAAAAAATAAAGGTTCAATCAATCAGTCAATTTCAACTTCTCGCAGGAAAAAAAAAGATCTTGCAAAGTTGGAACTGATTGATTGAACTTTTTAGTCCCACCCAGTCTGCCATTACTACCGCAGCCACGCCCACCCAATAGGCCATGCCCACCCAATTGGCCACACCCAGCCAATGGGCCACACCCACCCAGCACCCGACAATGCATAAGTGGGTTTTGGGTTGCAGTTTGGGCACTCGGTCTCTAAAAGGTTCGCCATCACTGAGCTAGAAGTTACCAAAGTTTATGTCTACGTGCCTTAGCTAGCATCCTTCTCACAGAGTCCTGCTAACTTTCTTGTAACATTCCTGTTGCTGGGCAGTTGTGTCCCACCATTGGTTACTGGTCTTATTACGCCCATCAGCAACTTTCTGCCTTGGCAATTTCTTTAACAAACTTCCCTAATTCCAGCCTGAGACCTTCACCCCCTGTGTGCCTCCAATTTTTTGAAGACAGATTTACCATAGTCCTTGGCTCACAACGATTCATTTAGTGAAAGCATTGAAAAAAGTGATTTATGACAATTTTTCACACTTATGACCATTGTAGTGTCCCTGTGGTCACTAAGCAAAATTCGGATGCTTGGCAACTGGCATGGATTTATGATGGTTGCAGTGTCCCGGGGGTCAGGGGATCCACTTTTGAGACCTTCTGACAAGCAAAGTCAATGTGGAAGCCAGATTTGCTGTACAACTGTGTTACTAAGTTAACCTCTGCAGTGATTCACTTAACAACTGTGGCAAGAAAGATTGTAAAATGGGACAAAATTTCACTTAATTGTCTTGCTTACCGATGGCAATTGCCTGTAGGGAAAATAGACACCCTTTGCCAGCTCACTTTCACATTTGCTATAGAGCAAGATCATCATAGAGTCCTCCAAAGTCTTGAGTGCAGATCCTGAAAAACACTCCTGGGGGTTCAGGCCAAAGCCACCTCAGCCCAAGCTTTTGTTTCTTGTATTTTCTCTTCAGCTCAGGGTTGGGCATTACCTGAAGGCTCAGAAGGAGGAGAAAGAAAAAATAGCTACATACAAAACGGACACAGAGCAAAGAGTGCAGGAGATGCTTGTAAGTATTGATCCAACGATGAGGAGCTTCTGAGCTAATAGGAAGGAGAACACCAGCTGCCATCTTTAATAATAGGCAGCCTGTTTGTAAGTAGAAGTTCTGACTGAAATGAAATTCCAGTTAAAGACAGAATTAGGGCACAGAACGTGTTCTTAGCCTGGGATGTCACCATTGGCTGAATGAGTCACAGTTGGATTAAGGGCTTCTTTCACATGAGCCATGTTTTATAAAGTGGGTTTGGCTTGCATATAAATTAACGCAGACCATATTTCATCTTATTGAAACAAATGTGAAATCAAACATTTTTCTGTCTACTTTTTTGGAATTCCTGATTGCCAAGAAAATTTTCATGAGAGATCATTTCACTTGAGCCTTTTTTTGGTTTTTAGAAACCTTTTCCCCTGTGCTTGTTGATGTCAAAATGGTGGTTTTTTTTCTCCCTAGGAAATTCTCCCATCTCATTTCAGGACTCTTCAGGGAATCTGTATAAATATTATAATAATAAAAATAAATATAATTAAGTAAAAATAAAACAAAAATATGCCTTTTGCTCTTTTTGTCTTCTTGTTCTAGGACCTCATCAAAAAAGAGAAAAAAAATGTAGTGGCTGAATTCAGAGAACTACAGCTCTGGTTAGAAGGACAGGAGGAGCTTCTGTTGGCTAGAATGGAAGAGACGGAGAAGGAGATTATGGCAATAAAGGAGAAAGGTTTGGCCAAGCACACGGAGGATCTGTGCTCTCTTGACGATCTCATCCAGGAGATAGAAGAGAAGCATCAGCAGCCAGCCAGCAAACTCTTACAGGTCAGGCAGGAAGTTGAGATCATAGACTCACATGGCTGGAAGGGACCTTGGAGGTCTTCTAGTCCAATCCTCTGCCCAAGGCAGGAGTCCTTATACCGTCCTGAAGAAATGGTTGTCCAATCTATTATTGGAAGCCTCCAGTGATGGAGGACGCACAACTTGGGGAGGCAGGCCGTTCCATTGATTAATGGTTCTCACTGTCAGGAAATTCTTCCTTATTTCTAGGTTGGATTTCCTTCTGATGAGCTTGCTTCTTGTCCTGCCCTCAGGAGCTACAGAGAGTAAATCGATGCCCTTTGCCCTATGACAGTCTTTCAAGTATTGGAAGATGGATGTCCTGTCTCCCCTAAACCCTCTCTTTGTTAAGCTAGGCATACCGAGTTCCCTTGGCCATTCATTGTACGGTTTGACTTCGAGAGTCCAGAAGCAGTTTCCAAGTAGAAACTAATATATATATATTTCTCTAATTAAAGCAATTTTGTCATTTTTTTTCTAGCTTCATCATTTTCTCCAGCCATTCTTCTGTTGTGGAGATTGATATATAGATAAGATAACCTTTATTGTTTTACTGTGGGCACACTGGTATACATAAAAATGAAATTCTGTTGCCTGTTCTCAAAAGTATACACATACACAACACACATATAACGATGCTATATACATACATATGTATATACCTACCACCCTTACACATAAATATTAGTCACTGTCCATCTTGAATACATAGCGGAAAGAGGAAGCTTGAAAGTTCACACGGTTGATATCGTATGGAAAAAAATTGTGACTGAATCTGGATGTTCTGCTTCAGATACCGCGAAGCCTCCTCCCAGAAGGTAACAGGGAAAACAGGTCATGAAGAGGATGTTTGTTGTGTCTCAGATAATCTTGTGGGCCCTGCTCAAGCAACGCTTCTGTGCCATCATGTCCTGGATAGAAGGGAGGGAACTGCCAATAATTTTTTCTTCTATCCTGACCACTCTCTGCACCGCTTTCCTGGTTGGAGCAGGGATGCTTCCAAACCAGACAGTAATGCAATATGACAGGATGCTCTCGATAGCTTTCCATTTCTGTGCTTGTAGGATTCTGGCTGCACTTGTGATCCTGAATGGATGATTATACATGACGACAGGACAATGCACTCATCATAAATATGAGTCAGTTGCCAAGCGGCTGAATTTTGATCACACAATCATGGGGATGCTGCAACGGTGGTAACTGGAAAATGGCCTTACGTCACTTTTTTCAGTGCTGTTTTAACTGAGAAAAGGGTCACTAAATGAACTGTTGAAAACAATGGCTAATATTAGGGATACCCAATTCAGAAAAAGTCCACGCGAAAAGCAAGAATTGAAAGTGCTGGTCAGTGTCCCTTTATTCTTCACCATTTTAAGAATGCCTGCTTAGGGTTCCTATCGCCTGTTAGGGGACATGTTGGTGGGTGTTCATTGTGGGGTCTCCTCCCCTTAATCTTCAGGGCAAGGGAAACCCCAACACTTGTGTGGAATTCAGTTAACCAGTGGAACAACCTGCTTCCAGAAGCGGTGAATGCTCCAACACTGGAAGTTTTTAAGAAGAGACTGGACAGCCATTTTTCTGAAATGGTATAGGGTTTCCTGCCTGAGCAGGGGTTGGACTAAATGACCTCCAAGGTCTGTTTCAACTTCTACATCTACTTCTACTTATTATTATTAATATTATTAATATTAATATTCAATCAGGGTATAATTTTTGTAACACAAGGAAATAAAAATAAACTGCTTTAAAAAAGGTGAGCAGCTGGGGAAAAAAGCATTTTTTTTTTAAAGAAAAAAGAGTACTTTTTAATTATGTCAGTTTGTATCTGGTTTCACACTTTTATGAATTTTAAGAATGTAACTGCATAGAAATGGCTCCTTTCATTTTTTTGTTTCTCTTTTTTAGGACATTGGAAGCATCTTGGAGAAGTAAGTGAATCCACCCTCCTCTTTACAGTCTCAGAGACCTGCAGCTCCTCCAGCAGTTTTCCTGTTTTGGAAAGTTCTGTTTGTATTTCACAATAATTTCATTTAGAGACAATGTATTTCAGGGCCTCATAAATATTTCCCCAGACAACCTCAACACAATGTAAGTAGCAATATTTGATATGGTGTATTATTATGGTTGGTCCCACAGTCAGCTAAATGTTTAGATTGAATTTGGTATTTTTGGCCATCTACTGAGTCCTTCCCAAGGATAGACAGAGGTTTGATGGTGCTAAAGGTATCATTGTAGGATGTAAGCTGTTACAAATAAGGCTGCCTTTTGCAATTGTCTGATAGTGGTTTTGTCAGTGCCGATGCTGTTCCAGTGGTGCTCCAGATGTTTTGGGACTACACCCAAGGCGTGTATTATTATTGGTGCTACCTTTGCTTTCTTTTGCCACAGTTGTTCTACTTCTATTTGCAGATCTTTGTATTTTGTGATTTTCTCCAGTTCTTTCTCTTTTATTCCGTTGTTTCCAGGTAGTGCCATGTCCACTTTTTTTGTCTTTCTCATCAATAATTGTCAGATATGTTAGTTAAGGATAGGGAAAGTTTGGTCAAAGCCACAGGTTTTCAGATGGTAAAAAAGGTTAAATATTTGGGAGTATATTTAACTGCTTCAAATGGAAAATTGTATAAGAATAATTATGAACTATTATGGGGAAAAGTACAAAAAGACTTAAAAGACTGGAAAAAAATGCAATTGTCATTGTTGGGGAGAATTTCAGCTGTAAAAATGAATGTTCTACCAAAGTTCCTTTTTTTGTTTCAGATGATACCTATTTTAAAAAAAAATTTGGATGAATGGCAAAGGGGTATCAACAATTTTATATGGGCCGGAAAGAAACCAAGGGTTAAGTTTAAGATTTTACAGGATGCTCGAGAAAGAGGAGGACTTAAGGCACCCAACTTGAAATTATATTATGACGCAGCCGCTTTAACTTGGTTAAGCGATTGGCTCAACCTAACAAATAAGGATATTCTGTTTTTGGAAGGTTGGGACTTAATATATGGTTGGCATGCATACTTGATTTTTAATAAGAAAGTTGATCGGATTTTTAAATTACATATTTTGAGGAATGCCTTACTTCATGTTTGGAAAAAGTATTATTACAGATTGAATTACAAAATACCTATCTGGGGGATTCCCAGACATGCAATTGAGGGAATTTCTAAGGGGACAAATTTCGATAAAATCTCGTATAAAGAATTGTTAATTTGGTCTGGTTCGAATTGGCATTTGAAATCCCTAGATGTATTAAGGCAAGAAAATACTCTACAGTCATGGTTTCAATACTTACAAATAGTGGATAGATGGACTGTAGATAAGAAAGAGGGAATAACATTAGAAGATAAACAATTGGTTATTCAGATTAAAAATCAGAGTCAGGCCCATATAAAAAGAATTTACAATGTTTTATTAGAGTTAGACTCGGAAACAGAATTGGTTAAAGACTGTATGATTAAATGGGCTCAAAATATACAGGAACCGATTTCATTGGATTTATGGGAGACAATTTGGACTAGAAATGTTAAATTTACACAAGCTCAAAATTTGAGAGAAAATTTTTATAAAATGTTTTACAGATGGCATTTAGATCCTAAAAAATTATCTTGTATGTATCCTAACATACAGCCCAAATGTTGGAGATGTGGCAATAAAGATGCGACATATTTTCATATTTGGTGGAATTGTAAAAAGGTAAAGGCATTTTGGATTATGACTTGGTGGAACATTCAAAAGATTTTTAGAAGGAAGATAAAGTTCACTCCTCAACTATTTTTATTGGGTATTTTTGTGGATTTAAATGATAAAGAAACTATTTTGATGTTGAATTTATTAACTGCTGCAAGGTTATTAATAGGTTTATACTGGAAAAAAGATTCTTTGCCTACTTTAGAAGAATGGGTATTTAAAGTATCTAGTTTTGCAGAGATGGCAAAAATTTCTGCTTATTTAAAGGATCACACACAAGAAAGATATATCACTGTATGGAGAAGATGGATAGATTATATTCAGAAAAAGTATGGAATTAAAAAGTTTCACTTATTTTATGAATGAATATTATAGTAAATACTACAGAGAATTGTCTTATAGGCTATTGGAGTTAAAGGTTAAGTATGATATTTTTTTTCCTTTTTTATTATTTTTTTCTTTTTTATTATTTTTTTCTTTTTCTTTTTTTTATTATTATAAATTCTTTCAATTATTAACCCTGTATTCTGCTCTGGGAAGTGAAGGGAGGGGGGTTGGGGGTGGGAGGGAGGAAATGTGGGGGGGTAAGTGTAATATAGATAATGGTTGCTTATAGGGGTGCTTATGCTGCGTTCATGGGTTTGATAGGGATGAGAGGTGGGCAAGTGTAGAGAGGAAGTAGAGTAGTGAGAGGAGAAGGGGAGGGGAAGAGAGTAGGATGGGAGGTGAGAAAGAGGAGGGAAGTAGGGAATATCTTAAGAGAGGGTGGACGCGGCCTGGGGGGAGTGCGCAGGTCGTAATAATGTTTATTTTATCTTAAAATTGTATTGTATGTATATATATATATATATATTTACAATGTTTATATGGAAAAAATAAAAAACTTTCAATAAAAAAAAATAATTGTCAGGTTTGGGGTGTTATGTAGCAGCAGGGGGTTGACTTTGAATTCTACAGTCCCAAAACACTTTAGCTTCTTCATTTTCTATCACTTTGTCTATTTTATGAAAAGGTTTTATAAAGCCCAGCTGAAGACCTAGGACTGGGGCGACGGCGCATGTGCCCACAGAGAGGGCTCTGAGTGCCACCTCTGGCACCCGTGCCATAGGTTTGCCACCACTGGTATAGATCGTCCAGCTTCCTGTTCTTATTCCACATGTTATTAAAACAATAGCTAAGCAGAGAAATGATTGAAGCCTGGGAAACAGGGCCCTTGTCAGTCAATCACCAGCTTACCAGGTACTTAGGAGCTGAGAACAGGGCAACACAAGGAAAGAACAATCACTGACTTACTAACCGGCTATCAACATCCCAATTAACAACTAAAAGTCACACACAACCAGGCATCACATGTATACAATGTGCAGGACAACCCAGTGTACAGATTGTGAAGAGAGAGCAGTTCCCTGAGGAAGGGCCCCCAAACGAGTCCAAAAGCTTAGAAAAATAAACCTCTGATCCTGGTGACCAACTCAGACTGGATCCTGCAGCTAGGCAATCCTCAAGCACCATCTGATGTTTTAGAAAGCTTCTTCCATTGGCAGGATGATAAACATTATTTTTTTTTGTCTTGCCAGGTACCAACCGAAAGAAATATATGAGAATCCTGTGGATTTACTTGTAGACCCGATGTGGACAATCTGGGATTACAGTGATCTTGCTGTGCTTCTGAAAAGTGCCATGGAAAAATTTAGAGGTAAAAAACAGCCGCCGAGGTTTTACGCTGGATAACATTTTGACCGCAGAGCATCCAAGAGAGATTCTGGGTCAGTGTCAGGGGGATCAAAGAGGGATCAATGTCAGGATCAGTGGAAGAGACACCTTCATTTCTCTGGGGAAAGGCCTTGTGTCTTAGCACCAGGAGGGGGAAGAGTCATAGTTGACCATTTACAGGTAGTCCTCGACTTACAACAGTTCATTTACTAACTACTGGAAGTTAGAACGGCACTGACTTAGGACCATTTTTCACACTTATGACATCCCCACAGTCACATTCACATTTGGATGCTTGCAACTGATTCAAATTTATGACAGTTGAAGTATCCACAGGGATCCCCACAGTCACATGATTTACATTTGGATGCTTGCAACTGATTCATATTTATGATGATCCTGTGATCATCTTTTGTCACATTCTGACATGCAAAGTCAATGGGGAAACCAGATTCACTTCACAACTGTGTTACTAATTTAACAAGTGCAGTGATTCACAACAAATGTGGCAAGAAAAGTCGTAAAATGGGGCAACATTGACTTAACAAATTTCTCACTTAACAACATAAATTCTGGGCTCAACTGTGGTCATAAGTCAAGGGCTACCTGTATTCTTTACTTCCCAAATCCATATTCACTGACCACTGGGGAGGCTGGATAAGCTTCCACTAAATATAATGGAATATATACAGGTAGTTCTTGACTTATGAGCATAATTTCAGTTGTTAAGTGAGTCGTGCTCTACTTTATGACCCTTTTTGCCACCATTGTTAAGAAAATCACTGCAGGCAAGTGAATCGTGTGGTTGTTAAGCCAATCTGGCTTCCTGCATTGACTTTGCATGTCAGAAGCTTCCCAGGAAAGTTGCAGATGGCAATCCCAAAACCATGCGATGCCACAACCGTGATAAATACATGCTGGATGTCAAGTGTAGGGATTTTGATCATGTGACTGGGGATGCTGAAATGGTCGTAAGTATGAGAACTGGTCATAAGTCACTTTTTAGTTCCATTGTAACATTGAGGAATCATTAAATTAATGGTTATGTTGAGGACTACCTGTATATGGAAAATATAGCAGAATATATTGATATCTGACAAAATAGATATAGCCACCAATGATATTCTGGCTTGTAGCTTTCCTTATTCCTTATTTCCTGGTTTGAGGCCAAGGAAAGCAAACAGGAATGAAAGGGAATATACAATAAATATGATAGCAGTGTTCCAGTATTTGAGGGGCTCCCACAAAGAAGAGGGGCTCACGTTATTCTCCAAAGCACCAGAGGGCAGGACAAGAAACAACGGTTGGAAACGGATCAAAGAGAGAAGCAACCTTCCTGACAGTGAGGACAGTTAACCGGTGGAATAGCTTGCCCCCAGAAATTGTGGGCGCTCCATCACTGGAGATTTTTAAAAAGAAGCTAGACAGTCACTTGTCTGAGATGGTATAGGTCAGTGATGGTGAACCTTTTAGAGACCGAGTGCCCAAACCGCAACCCAAAACCCACTTATTTACCGCAAAGTGCCAGGACCGCCTCAGGATTGTGGTATCCTGGGGGGGGGGAATGGGGGCGTGGCCCACTGGGTGGGCATGGCTGTGGTTGTCATGGCAAACTGGGTGGTTGTGACTGGGGTGGGTATGGTCACCTTGATGTTGCTCGGAGGGGGAGCCTGTGGGGGTTGGGCAGGTTTGGGGGAGATCCAGGGGGTCTCTGGCAGGTAGGGTGGTGGGCAGGGGGCCCAGCATAGATGGGGAGGCACGCAATTCCAGCTCGGACTGGGGGGCTATGGCACCGATGGGGATTTGGCTTTCCCTGCTCAGGGTGGCCTTTCACTTGCTGGACGTGGGCGTGCTCTACCATCTCTACTCGAGCTTGCTAGCTGGCTGCTTCACCTCCTTTGTGCCTGGTGGTGCTGCCACTCTGGGCAGTGGCGGCCTAATGGACCTGCACAAGCTGCTGGCAGTGGTGGCATGCATGCCCACAGAGAGGGCCCTAAGTGCTGCCTCTGGCACGCCTGCCATAGGTTCGCCACCACTGATATAGGATGTCCTGCTTGAAGAGGGGGCTAGATAGAAGACTTCTAAGATACCTTCCAATTTAATTCTATTCCTATTCTATTCTATGTCGGTCACCAGGATGAGAGTTTCTGTCTTCCGGGCTTTTGGTCTCTCCCTGAAGCCCACCTTCGTGTCTGTCTGTCTAAAAAGCCACGCACAGAGACACTATAAGCACCATACACAAAACAGCACACACACTCCGCTAGAGAGAAATTCCCTGAAGATAGGCTCCAGCAAGGGCCCGGAAGACAAAACCTCTCGTCCCGTTGAGCGACCCAGATGGGATCCTGCAAAGCAAACCAGGGTGTCTGTAGGGAGGCCCTTCAGTCACTCCAATTCCAGTGACGAGATGCTGAATCCCTCCTTTTTCTTCCCCAGATACTCTGGAAAGTGGACTTCAACTCCAGGAAGGTAAATAGGAATTATTAAAAATCTCATATCAGTTGCTATTTAAGCTCTGATGCTAGTAGCTTTAAGAGAAATACTGTACAATAGAGTGACAAAGAAAAAAAGCATAAGATTAGGTACCTTGAAGACTATGATGATCCAGTAAACTTAAATGATTTATTATTTAAGACCTATTACTTGCTATTTATATGTACACTGTGAGCTTATCCACCGAAGGCATTCCTTGTGTGTCTGATCACACTGTTCAACCTTGGCCCTCCCGGGAACTCACTGAAGGCAATGCCAACCACTCTTCACCCCCCATCCCAATCTTCCCACCTGCAAGATGGACGTTAAAGAGATTGATATGCAGGGATGTTAGAAGGGGGTGAAGCACCATGAAGGCTTGGAAAGACAAGGCAACGGGCCGTTTATAAAATCAGTGACTCTTCCAGTCCTGGAAGCTGAACTCCTTTCAGAGTGGAAGCCGTAGGGTTGATATATTGGGGGCAAGACACAAACCAGGCCTGCAGCCTAAGCTCTTGTTCTTCTTCCTTCCTCCCTTCCCTTCCCCATTGCAGTGAATGTAATTCTGGATCCAGATACAGCCCATCCTGGCCGCCTTTACATCCCCAAAGATGGAAAAAGCGTCAGAGGAATTAAGCCATGTAAACAAATATATCCTTCCCCAAACAGCATGAGATTTGAACGTTGTCCATATGTCCTTGGCTGTCAGAGGTTCTCAGCAGGGAGACATTTCTGGGAAGTTACTGTAGGAGACACAAAAGAATGGGATGTAGGGATTACCATCATGCCAGTGAACATAACGAATCTTGATGAGCAGGCCAGACACTGGCAGATTTATAAACGGGGAGAGAAATACATGGCTCGCTTTCCGTCAGTACGCTCTGAACTGGTCCTGACCAAGAAGCCCAAAAGGATCCGCATCTCTCTCAACTGCGAAGGAGGACAAGTCAGCTTTTTTGATGCCAGGACCGCAGCTCTGCTCCGTACACTGTCAGATGCTTCCTTGGTTGGAGAGACCCTTGTGCCCTCTTTCTGTTTGTACGAAGGCAGCTCCCTGTCACTCCCCTAAAAGAGGGGACCTCCATAGGCAAACCTTTGCAAAAATCCCTATTTGCTAAGCTGTAGTCCCTGAAAGCCTTTAAAACAGAGGTTCCTCAGCTTCTGGCTACTACCCCTTCCTTTAGTGTTGGATGCCACACTGAGTTGCTTGCGATTGTGTAGCCTTGGAAATGGAAAGAATGGGTCAGTCAGTCAATCTAAAAAATGAGGTGTCCTGTGGGAGCTTTATAGGCTTTAGTGTTATGTTATGTTCAAGTGTATCAATATTAAGGATACCTTATCTTACATGGCTAAACCCCTCAAACATGGGTTTTAGATGTCCGTCACAGCTCTCCTTCCCATTTATGTATCCTGCTTATTTCTTCAATGTTTTAGTTGCAATCAGTGTGTAGATTCCCATAATTCAATATATTCTGTTTTCTTTCCCTTCTTTCTTTTTAAATATACACAATAATCATAATCCCAACAAACTCTAGCAGGGCTTCAGCAAATATTAGACTCAATGTAAGATTCACAGCATCCTAGGCTTTTTGTTTGTTTGTTTGTTTTGCTTTTTACAAATCCTAGTACTGTTTCTGTATTTTTATATATCTACTTTTTATACTTATGTAATGCTACTGCCAGTAGGGACAAGAAGCATATTTTTAAGATAGTGAAGAATGCCAGCAAGGAGTGTGATGTGGATGCTATTGTACATCTTGGCACTAACGATTTGTCCCCAAAAGATGTACTCTCTGTGCAGAATGCTTTCCAGAGCTTGGGGCAGGAACTTAGCAGGATAGGCTGTCGGCCTACTTTTTCAGAGGTTTTACCAGTGTATAAGGAACAAAATGGAAAAGGCCAGCGTATAGCACAATTCAATATGTGGCTAAAGAAGTGGTGTAAATGGAAAGGCTTTGGTTATATTAGTCACAATGCCTGTAGCTGGTCCAATGAAAAAATATAGAAAAGATGGCTTGCATCCATCAAAGAAAGGGACTGAGTTACTCGGCAATAAAATCACAGATTTTCTGGAGGAATATTTAAACTAAACAACGGGGACAGTGAGTTAATTGATATAGAACATCCCTGTCCCCGGCAGTGTAAAAATTAGGGAACAGATGTGTGTGTGGACAAGAATATCAACCTTGCTGTCGAGGAAAACCAAGCTTTTAATAGCGAGTGCCACACAAAGTGCACAAATCAAACAAAATTATTATTATTATTATTAATAATGATAACAATCGGGTTACTCATTGTAAGACTAATTTTATAGGTGTCTCATGGATTTTAGTTCTTTCCTTTGCAATTTTATGTGAATAAATTTATTTTTACCTTATTTTATTCTGCCAATATGAAATTTTATTTCTATTTTAGAGTGACGTTATTACTTTTATTGTCAACCATCCCATTTGGCACATTTCAACAAAAGGAACTCCCAGCTATTTAAAACTACCAAGAGTAAAACTTTACTGAAAGATCCATCTAGGCACAGTGGAAGCAAAGTCAGTTCTGGGATTTTCCCATAGAAATCCACATAAGTAAAAACTCTTTCCCCCCCTCCTCTGGACCACCACACTTCATAGTTCACCAGCTGAGTTCAGTTCTTTTGTTTTGGGAAATCAGGTCTGTGCATATCTCATAACTTGACCTTGGTGAATAAGGTCTCATGCATTCCTCACCCTAGGAAGTCACCAACCACCCACCTGTTTCTGTATGGGAGAACACGAGCCAAAATCAAGGGCAGGAAACTATGGAGCGAGTCAGTTTTGACAATAATCAATGATTATTCAATGTAATATCAAGAAACAGGAGACAAAAACAAAATATACCATTGGTTATAAAGATGTGAGCCCTAGGTACCCTGAAATGTGTCACTTGGCTCAAGCCAAAATTCAAATAGAATTGTTAATAGAATTGTAAAACTGAAATACACTATTAAATAAATACATTATTTGACAAGATGCCACTAGCACACTTTTTTCCCTCTTGCTTTGAGCCCTCTGCCTTTGATTGAGTAACTGTAAAAGAAGAAGCCAATTTGGTGTAATGGTTAAGAAATCAAGCTAGAAGCCCTGAGTTCTAATCCTGCCTTAGACACAAAGCCATCTGGGTGACCTTGGATCAGTCACTCTCGCTCAGCCCTAGGAAGGAGGCAATGGCAAAGCCCCTCCTGAATCCTTGCCAAGAAAAGTGCAGGGAGATTCGTCCAGGCAGTCCCTGGGGGTCAACACTCTGAGGCACCCCAAAAGTGACTTCGATACTGAGATGGGAGTCAGATCCAGGTTGGTCTAGTGGTTAAGGCGCCAGATTAGGAAGAGGAAGACTGAGTTCAAGTCCTGCCTTAGCCATGAAAGCCAACTGCGTGAGTTTGAGTCAGTCATCCTCAGTCCAACCCACCTCACAGGGTGGTGGTTGTGGGGAAAATTGGAGGAGGAAGATGTGTTGGATATGTTTGCCCCCTTGAGTTATTTTAAAAATAAAGGTAAATAATAAGGGGAAAGAATGTTAAACTCTGATACGGTGATTTTGAATGCTAACCTTGGCTCTCTGGAACATCTCAGAGCATCTGAGCAACTGAAGACTGACAAGCTGCTGCTGGCAAAGGAGCATGTGAGGAATCCAAATGAAGATACCTAATACAGCTAGTCCTTGACTTACAACCACAAGTGAGCCCAAGTGAGAAAGTTGTTAGGTAAGCTTTGCCCCGTTTTAACTGTATCATGGGGGAAGAGAGAGAAGGGAAGGAAAGGTTTTGGCGGGAAAGAGGAGAGCAGGGACTAGAGATAGAGAGGGTGAGAGGGACAGGTGGAATGGCTTTGGGGGCAAGCCTGAGGGAGAAGGGAGAGAAGGGAAGCGGGGCCAAGCGGCTGATCTGGCCTCCATTGGGGGGGGGGATGAAAAGGAAGACGTTTTGGTGGGAAAGCGGAGGAGAGCAGGGGATAGAGAGGGAGAGATGAGTGTCTCTGGGGGGCAGAGAAGGGAAAAGAGGGAAGTGGGGCCTCCCCCTCATCTGTTCTCCACCCCATTGAGTGAGGGGGGCAAGCAATGCCTGAGGATAGGTGGAGGAAAGGGGGAGAAAGGAGTGTGGGTGAAGGTAGAGAAAAGTCTATGAGGAAAGGATGAGAAAGGAGGAGGATGGGAAGCGGGACGCAGGCAGGCGAGAATTAATCAAGGAGCAGAGGCAGGAGAAAGAGGCCAACCGGCAGTCTGACCATCACCCTACCATGTGACTGGTCTGCCAGGAGGAGGCTGCATGAGGAAGGACAAGACGGCAGAGTCCAGCTGACCCGGGGCAAGTGGAGGTGTCTGAGTGAGGGAGCAGAATGGACTGGCAGCCACAACCACGGAGTGTAGCAGGGGAAGGCGCCCGGATAGTTGTGTACTGCTCTCCTCTTGACCTCACAAATTTCCCTGCGCTACTCAGGAATTTTGAAGAGCCAAAGAAACTCCCGAGCTGAGCTTTCAACAAGAAAACGACTTTTATCTTGATCAAAACAGAGTCTCCCTCCCTCTTCGTGGCTGCTTAGAGGGGTGAAGGCCCACCCAGAAAAGATTCCTTCCACTTTTTATACCCTTCCAGAACAAAGAGACTCAAGTCTCGGTACCAGGAGTAAAGAAGCACAGGAAAACCAAGTCCAAGACTTGCTCACCTCCCCCCCCTGCCTATTTCCTGGACCCCTGAATCTCACCTTGTCCTTCCATGTAAGCAGTCTCCTGTATATTTAGCATGAGACATTTGCTTTTATGTAAATGATTTCCCAATATAAGGCATCTACAAAGCTGCTTGCACGTAAACAAAATTATATATAAAATGATTAGAAAGCGTCACTACTAATATCAATATAAAGTGGTTACAAAATAACACTACTAATATCAAGCTTAAGCATAATAAAATCATAAGCATAATAAAATCCCTTCAGTTGGAAAAGAGGGCCGGGGAAACCAGACCCCAGTGACCCTTTCGGGGGTAGCACTCCATGACAATCTTTCTGGTCACAGTTGTTAAGTTAGTCACTCGGTTGGTAAGTGAATCGGGCTTCCCCATTGACTTTGTTTGTCAGAAGGTCACAAAAGGTGGTCACATGACCCCGGGATACTGCAACCATCATAACAATGAACCAATTACCAAGTGACTGAATTTTGATCAAGTAATCAAGAGGGTGCTGCAATGGTCGTAAGTGAGAAAATCTGTCATAAGACACTTTGTAATGTCTACATACATTTAAAACAAGAAATGTTAAAATGCTTATTTATTGGACTTCCACAGACCCCAAATTGAGAGCCACTGATCTAGCAGACTCTCAAAGGGATGGGGATGGCCACAAGGGCGTCCCATGGCAGGTCAACCACCTCAAGATAGCGGCCAAACCCGCCTTCTACCCATATGTAAATAAGGGGTGGGGCTTCCATCCCTGAGCCCTCCAGGGTTGGTTCTTGCTTTGCAGCATCTCCTGGCTTCTGGGGATCAGGGCCTTTGAAAGAGGGGTCAGCGAGAATCCATGGGGAGATGGGATTGGCTAGCAATGGGAAGAATCCTCCCCTTTTTGTGCGGGGGGGGGGGGGAAGGAGGAAATGTGGGTGGAGGTATGGGGAAGGAGAGACCAAAAGTGAATTTTAGAGGAAGCTGGGCAGAGTGTTTTATCTTGGGAAGTTAGTCCTGCAAGGTTGAAGGACTTGACACCCAGCCTTTGCCAATCTATAACACCTCTAAACAAACCTAGTTTGTTTTGCCCAGCCAAACTCAGTTCAGATAAAGTTACCTGGGCTTGTAAGCATGGTTGCAAGAGAGGAAAAGACCTGTTGACCTGAATGGGAGCTAAGAGCTCAGGGGTTTTCAGGGTCTGCAATCAATTTCATTCCATCTTCAAATGCAATCCACCCATTTCTTTGTGACATTTTTGTGCCAATAAAGAGCCACTGCTATGGAAATTATTATGGGCGTCAGGTTTAGGAGATTAGGATAGTATCATTTGTGGCTGTAAATAGATTGTGGTTGTTGTGGATTTTATGGCTTTTATGGCAGGAAAACAAAACAGTAACTTTAACTGTTGGGAGTTTTCATTTGTAATTTTGATGGTGCTTAAACTGTATCCTGGTTGGGGGAGGTGCATTTTAAATAGGAGTTTTGTTTCTTTGTACTGAGAGACATCTCTTTTTGCATGGATTTTTAATAGTAGTAATAATCTAATCTAATGCTGATGATAATAATTCCTTGAAATGAAATCAGCTCTCACAGGCCCACCTACAAATCACTGAATGGGGTTGCAGAAGTACAAAAAAATAAACTTCTCCATTGAGTCGAGTTCGAATCCTGGTGATATCATGGACGTGTACAAGGAGCTTTCTTGCCATTATGATGGTGGTTTGCCATGGTCTTTATCTGGAAGATTTAAAGTTTCTTTTACTTATAGCTACAGGTCCAAGAATGCTAGTCGAACATTTTCACCAGAGAAATGGAAACAAAAAAGAGGAAATAAAAAAAAACCACCAGGCTAAATTCAAACATAGTGCTTTTGAATGTTGATTACAACTGAACAGAAATTAATTCCTTTTATGTAATAATAGTAATAATAATAAAGTTGGAAGGGACTTTGGAGATCATCAAGTGCAACCCCGTGCTCAGGCAAGTAACCCCATACCATTTTGGACAAATGGCTGTCCAGTTTCTTCTTAAAAACGTCCAGTGTTGGAGCATTCACCGTTTCGGAGGCACGTTGTTCCACTGGTTAATTGTTCCAACTGTCAGGAAGTTTCTCCTTAGTTCTAGGTTGCTTCTCTCCTTGATTAGTTTCCATCCATTGCTTCTTGTCCTGCCTTCAGGAGCTTTGGAAAATAGCTTGACTCCCTCTTCTTTGTGGCAGCCCCTGAGATATTGGAACACTGCTATCATGTTCCCCCCCTCATCCTTCTCTTCATTAAACTAGACATACCCAATTCCACAATGTAGATTGTGATGAATTGATCTAATAAAAAATAATCCTATTTTCAGTCCAGCCTGAACACTCAGGAACAGAATTATTAGCTCAGAGTCAATTAGTGTAAAAAAAAGGATGGTGCAGCAAAGTAGAGAACTGTTTTTAGTTATTTTATTAGCTAGAATAGGGACTTTAAAAAATTGGATAATGGGACATTGTTATACAGTACTTCCCTTTAACACACTAGATGATAAAATGTTACACCTTCCTAGATTGAAAGTTTTACTAAAATAAAAATATGAGATATTAAAATCGAGATTTAGATGTGAATGTTCTGTAAATTAAGTTTTTAAAGTTTCCAGGCCCTAAATCTGTTTGTTTAAAAGCATTACAATAGCCTCAGCCATATTAGTGATTCCTTCCTTCCTTCCTTCCTTCCTTCCTTCCTTCCTTCCTTCCTTCCTTCCATCCGGTGCCATAATGAGCCACTGTGAGTGCCAATTGAGGTTCTTTGGGAAGGGCATTCCAAAAATGAGGTGCCACCACTGACAAGGCAAGATAAAGGGGCTTGGAATCCTGTTGTGACTAAGGAATCTCCCCAAAAAGCCCTTGAACAAAGAGCCTATAAGATATTTTCCACCCACCAGTTTCCCCCCCACCCCATGGATCCACCGGTCCTAGGTTGACCTGAGACTACTAATTACTCTTTCTAACCATCTTTTGCCTTAAGGAACCTCATTGGTCTAACCTGAAGATTTCCATCCAGCAAATGATCACATTCTACATATTCCATATTCTGCAAGGTAATCTTCTGCTTCTCCCTTCCATAGTGACCCAGGCTGATTGGCTAGCTGGGAAGGGGACAGTCCAGGCAGGTCTTCCTCAGCCAGATATTCCTATTAAAAGGGAAAGAAAGGATTTTAATTTCCACCCGTCATTTCCCTTTATCTCTGAGACATCCTATCAACTGCAGCACTGGATTTGGGATTTTATCAAGAATTTCTCCCAGTCTGTTTCATTCCACGTTTACTTCATCCCATCCCTTAAAGATTTCAGTTTTTTAAAAGCATTTTCCCCTTTAACAAGCTAGTTGGATAAATATTAATTAATTGGGAATCTGTCCCATGGATGTTTCTTTCTCCCCAGGTTTTTTCAATATCTTTTCCCTTAGCAGGATACTTGGATCAATAATTGATTGGAGGAGGCATCCCAAGAATGTTTGTTCTCCCCAGTTTTTAAAAATCCTCTCCCCCTTTAACAGGATGCTGGTGTGGGAAGAAAATCTGGTCCGGTGGTGAAAGGAAAAAAAGCAAATGCTGGTGCTATCTGAAGAGGAGGAAGTTTTATTTCCAAGAGTCAAAACCCATGCAAAATATGCAATATTCTAGCAACAACATTTATATTATTCTAAATTAATTTCTTAATTGGTTTTCCTTGTTCATTTTTTAACACTCTTATTAACCCAGAAAAAGATTTATTGAACCTTTTCCCTTATAAATAAGTTTATCTAGTGAAAATTAAATTTTGTGTTTGCTTTTTTGTTTTTGTAATTTAAAAGATGAATTTAATTAATTATCATGTTCGCTTGTGAATTTAAAAGTTTTCCTTTCTATTATGGCTTGTCGGCTTTCCCTCCCTCCTCTCTAATGAGGCTCCTGTCAGCTATTGATAACTTTATTAGAGCTTAGGTCAATATTTCTTATACAACAGTTCTAATACATTTTATACAGATTTATAGATCCTTCTCACACTGGGATCAGTTGTATTTGATCGGGGCTCCGTCCCGTGGATTCTCCCCAGTTTTTAAAACAATTTACCCTTTGACGAACTGATTCGGCCAATAATAATTGACCGGGGCTCCGTCCCGTGGATGTTTGCTTCTCCCCAATTTGTTCTTTTTAAAATACTGTCCTTCTCCTTTAAGAAACCACCGAAGCTGACCGCAACAGCAACAGTCATTCATCTCGGTTTCCCGTCTGGGAAGAGCCCAAAGGCGGTCATCTGATTTGCAGGAAAAGGCGCGAAACTAACTTTCTCTTTCCTTATCCCGGCGGAGGAGGCGGCGATGGCGGCCGCAGCGTCCATGCAGGATTTCCTGGAAGAAGCCACTTGCTCCATCTGCCTGGAGTATTTCCAGGACCCCGTGCTCATCCCGGAGTGCGGCCACAACTTCTGCCGGGGCTGCCTGACCCGCAGTTGGGGGACGTCGGAATCGGAGGCTTCCTGCCCCCAGTGCAGACAGACCTTCGGGCCCCGCAACGTCCTTCCCAACAGGCAGCTGGCGCGGGTGCTGGAAGTGGCCAGGCGATGCAAAGATCCTTGGGGCGAGGATGAAGGGAGCTTCTGCCCGAAGCACCGGGAGCCCCTCAAGCTCTTTTGTAAGGACCACGAGACCCTCATCTGCCTGGTCTGCAACCTATCCCAAGAGCACAGGGACCACTCGGTGATCCCTGCGGAGGAGGCTTTCCAGGAGTACCAGGTAGGAATCCGCCAGGGGGAATCCCTGCCGAGGGCCATCCAGTACCCTTGGCCTTCCAGGCAATCCTTGAACTACTTTACTTGTTTCCTCTGTTGTCCGCAAACCGGGTTTAGCCTGGCGCAGATGCCAGTCAGAACCAGACAGGAGTTCAAGGAACTTTTATTGAAGTATTTCAGCAAAAGGCTCTTAAGAAGCTAAAGGAGCCAAGACCCCCGAACCATATACAAATACAAATTTGATACAGTTAAGATTAAGGAAGTTGAGATATTACGGCTTTTATTGATTTTTTAATACAATTCAATAGTGCTTATTCAACAAACGTGTTGTCTGGGTTTATCATTCACTAATACAAATTAAATTCCTAATCGCTAGTTCGTTTCTCCGGCCTTTGATAAAATAAGTCTCAAGTTTGAAAATATTCTTTTTCTTTCAATCTCAAAGTAAGTCTGTCCATTTCTGCACAGTCTAATATTTTTTTAATTATTTCTTCCTCTGATGGTATTTCTTCATTTTTCCAATATTGTGCAAATATAAGCCTTGCTGCTGTTATCATGTGCAAAATCAGATGATAATATTAATATAATAAAATATAATAATAATAATAAAGTTGGAAGGGGCCTTGGAGGTCATCTAGTCCAACCCCTTGCTCAGGCAGGAAAACTCTATACCATTTCAGACAAATGGCTGTCCAGTCTCTTCTTAAAAACTTCCAATGTTGGAGCATTCACCGCTTCTGGAAGCAGGTTGTTCCACTGGTTAATTGTTCTGTCAAGACGTTTCTCCTTAGTTCTAGGTTGCTTCTCTCCTTCATTAGTTAAATATACTTTGTTTTTCAAGCTTTTCTGGCATTATACCTAATTTAAAAAGTTCAGGTTCTACATGTTTTCCCAGCATACTTCTAGCCAAGTATGTATTTTTGTCCAATATCTCTTTGCTTTAATACAGGGGTGTCAAAACTGCCAGTGGACGCGTCACCAGGAAACCGCGCCCACTCCATTGGAGAAAAAGCTCCGATATATCATGTGATGTCACGTGACCTGAGTTTGACATGTCTGCTTTAACACATGTCCACCATACATGATAATAACTACCTGGTTTTTGATTACATTTCCAACATTTATCTGACATATTTTTAAACATTTTTGCCAATCTTGGTGGTGGCAAGTGCCATCTATAAAACATTTTATATAAATTTTCTTTATAAGAGGTTGACATTGTCAGTTTGTAATTTCTTTCACACAGGCTTTGCCATTTCTCTAAATCAGACATGTCAAACTCGCGATGTCATGTGACGTCACGCAACGTATCGGGACCGTTTTGCCATTGCCAGCAATGGGGTGGGCGTCGCTTCCAGATGACGTGTCCGGCCTGTGGTCCAGCAGTTTGACACCCCTGCTCTAAATCTATATTATATCCAAAAAATTTTGCGCATATTATCGTTTTTTTTACTTGTTCATCTTCCATTTTCAAATTTAATAGAAAATTATACATTTTTTTAATTAGTTTTTCATCAGAGGTTAATAGTATCTGATCAAACAAAGTCTGCTCTTTGTAGAATCCATACAATTTAACATCTTTATCATATCTCACTTGTATCTGTAAATATGACCACTAACGATAAATCAGTACCCTGATTTTTCATCTCTTGTCTAGATTTTAAGTTCCTTTCAGAGTTTAGAATATGTCCATATTTTCTCAAAGCTAACTAGATTTGGGTGTACAAATGCTTCCATTATTGACAGCCATCCTAGGATTTTCAAATATATTTTGCTTTTTATTTTCCCATGTTAGTAATAATAGATTTCTAATATAGTGGTTTTGAAAATGTTTTATGAATTTTATTTTTCCCATACCATAAAAAAACATGCCAACCAAGTTGTAAGTCATGTCCCTCTAAGTACAACAATCTTTTATGTCTGAGGGTTATTCATTCTTTTACCCATGTTAACACCGATGCTTGATAATATAAAACCCAGTCTAGCAAACCAAAACCTCCATTTCCCCTTAGTTTCTTGTAACATTTTCAATTTAATTTTAGCTTTCTTTCCTTGCCAGATAAATTTTAAAATTAAGAAGTTCAGGTCTTCAAAAAAAAAAAATTCTCTAGTTTTATAGGTATAGGTATTGTTTGAAATAAAAGAAGTATTTTTGGTAATACATTCATTTTCACCTTAATGTCTACAATTGCAGATTTTTTAATTTTTCCAAATCAAGTTTTATTTGGTTAGTGATATTATATAGATTAAGGAAGTTGATCACTCACTGGTTCCTTGACATGTGTTTCTTTTGATTTCTAGTCTTGCCCTACTTTACCCTCCTTCATACATTGCATATTTATGCTAATAAGCTTTCTTATCAAAAGGGTTGTGTGTTTTATTATTATAATAAGCTAGAAGTTACCAAAGTTTATGTCTATGTGCCTTAGCTAGCATCCTTCTCACAGAGTCCTTCTAACTTTCTTGTAACATTCCTCTTGCTGGGCAGTTGTGTCCCACCATTGGTTACTGGTCTTATTACACCCATCTGCAACTTTCTGCCTTGGCAATTTCTTTAACAAACTACCCTAATTCCAGCCTGAGACCTTCACCCCCTGTGTGCTTCCAATTTTTTGAAGACAGATTTACCATAGTCCTTGACTCATAACCATTCATTTAGTGACAGCATTGAAAAAAGTGACTTATGACAATTTTTCACACTTATGAGTATTGTAGTGTCCCTGTGGGCACTAAGCAAAATTCGGTTGCTTGGCAATTGGCATAGATTTGTGATGGTTGCAGTGTCCTGTGGTCAGGTGATCTGCTTTTGAGACATTCTGACAAGCCAGATTCGCTGTACAACCGTGTTACTAAGTTAACCTCTGCAGTGATTCACTTAACAACTGTGGCAAGAAAGGTTGTAAAATGGGACAAAAGTTCCCTTAATTGTCTTGCTTACCGACGTCAATTGCCTGTAGGGAGAAATAGACACCCTTTGCCAGCTCACTTTCCACATTTGCTATAGAGCAAGATCTTCATAGAGGCCTCCAAAGTCTGGAGTGCAGACCCTGAAAAACACTCCTGGTGGGTCAGGCCAAAGCCACCTCAGCCCAAGCTTTTGTTTCTCAGTGATGCTTCTCAGGTGACTGCAAGCAGGAGACTCAGGCAGCTTACTTTCCTGCCATTACAGGTAGTCCTCGACTTAGAACCATTCATTTAGTGACTGTTGGAAGTTACGGCGGCAATGGGGAAAGTGGCTCCCGACCATTTTTTACATTTACAACCGTTGCAGCATCCCTGTGGTCACATGATCAAAATGTGGACGCTTGGCAACTGGCATGTATTTATAACGGCTGTATATATCTTCTTTTTTTATTAAAACAAATTTTATTGTTTTTTTAAGTTATTAAAGCAACATATTCAGGATACACCGTGTTGTTGGGGTAATCAAACATCTTAAAACAAGACATATATACATAATATAATCAATACATCAAATATTCCCTCTCTTTTTCCCTCAAATAGCATAGTATATTTAGAATATCCAATTCTAGCTTAAATTTATTCAACCTGAACCTGTTTTTAAGCTTCATCAATTTCTACCATAATCAAATTAACTTTAAATAAAAACATTTTCAATTCAAATATCCCTCCCACATATGTTCTACTTTCTTAATTTTATCAAAATCTTATTTGTTTCTTCTTCCAATACTCGTCCTTATTTAGAGTAAATTATTAATCTATCTTGTACCTATCAAATCTATCAATTGATCTATCTCTTCAAGCTAAAAAAATATACCTTAAATCATGTCATTCTATTAAACAAAATTCAAATCTCCAATTAATTATCATGACTAATAACATCCATATCATCAGAAAATCATATCATCTTATTAAATTTCAATTAACTATTAGTTTACTTCAAATCTGAAACATCTCTTCAATTTTCGTCATTCCATTACATCATAATTTTCATAGAAATAAACCTAACATTCTAAAAGGAACATTCCTAATATTCTAAATTGTCTTTAATCCCTTATATAGAAAGATATCTCGTTTTTAAACAAAAATATTAATCTATCCTAGACACATCTAAATGTATGTATTTATCAAACTATTCTATAGATATCTAATCCTTCACTTAATCAGTCTCTTTGAATTAACAAATTAATATCAAACCTTAAATCATTTCAATCCTTTAAGTAAAGTTTAAATTTCACATGTTATAGGACAAACAAGTCGTCTTATTTAATTAACATTCAGTTAATTATTGATTCACTCCAACTCTAAGACATCTTTTTACTTCAAACTCAAAATCTCAGTCCTTACATCAGTCCATAGTTCTAGGTTGCCTTTAATCCAATTTAAGAAATTTTAAATTTCATTTTTCAATCTTATTCTAGCTTTCTTCTTTTGCCAGGTAGGTTTCCATAACAGAGCTTCCCTTCCAGATAATAGGTCTTTTTTGTTGCTTGTAGGGTCACTTGATTCGATACCGACCATCTTG